TGAGTACTTAGTCAGATGCAGTTTAAAGGAAATCATTTGTGAGCAATCTTTTTTTCCTAATTCTTGTATTAAGTGATTATCTGAATTATTGGACCTACCAGAGATTTTGACCTGGAAAATCTCTCGAAGCGCTAAATGGTTTTCTGTGTTTGGTTTGCCTCTGTTGTAGAAAATGTGGAGCTGATCCTTAAAAATATAAACAGTCGGCATGGAAGTGAAAGCCAAGACAATGACCAGCCGGATTATGACAGCGTTGCGTCTGACGAAGATACAGACCAGGAGCCACCTTCTGCTAAAGGAGACCGGACAAAGGTAACACATGTGTGACACCACGTGTGGAGACAAGATCTGTAAACGTGCATGTTTGGCATTTCTTTTTGAATCGTACGCATGAAACTGTGCACTTGTAAATGTCCTTTTGCTGTTTTCACATGTCCCTTCACTGAGGCTCAAGTGCAGAGAAGCAGAGAAGTCACTAAACATCATGCAGATATTTATAGGATCTGTTTTTGTACCAGTTAAATAGAAACACATGACAAGATGAAAGTTTAAAGTGTAGGTGTCAGAAGTCAGTGTGTTGAAATGATCTCACAGGCCTTACTCTTTCGGACTTATTGGTGTTCTTTTAGAAGCATTTTAGAAGCTCTAAGTATACTTGCTTGTAAAGGCCTTCAATGCTGGAAGTAAATGCAGCCACTACTGAATGGCTGCAGTGATTTTTTTTTCCCTCAGCAGTGACAGGCTCAATGTGCTCTTTTTGCAGAGCGTGGATTCAGACTTGTCAGACGGACCGATCACGGTGCAGGAATTCATGGAAGTTAAAAGCGCACTAACAGCGTCAGAAGCCAAGATTCAGCAGCTCATGAAAGTGAACAGCAACCTGAGTGATGAGCTAAGACTGATGCAGAAAAAGGTACATACAGATCCATGCCCCCAGAGCACAAACACAGACACTTAGCTTTGGAGCCACAGGGGATTCATGTGAGCACAGCGAAAAGACTTCATCGCAAGGCTCACCTCAGAATTAACACCTTGTTCATCTCTGTCACAGAAATGTGAGTGGAGTACTTGCATTAATGTTTTATTGAAGCAGTTACGCAGCATCTGTAATTTGCTACTGTAAAATAATTTGATAGAGTTTCCCATGATGTGACTAAATATCATAGAATGGTCTCCTTTAAAAAAAAAAGCTTTAAATCAAAGCATAAGTTGCTCGCACAAAGCACAGAACGACAGCTGGGTAGGAATTAATAGTCATTATGAAGTGTCAGTGCTTCTATTACACTTAAAACTTTATATCTATTATATTTTCACTATCAATATGTTACATTTTCATAAGCATTTTAAATGAATGTTCACACTACATCATTATTTGTAATTGTTTTGGCTAAAAAGGGTAAAATCAGGACTCTCCTAATTTCATAATTACATTTTGCTCTTTCTTTTTATGGTTATCCAAATTCTAGTAAACGTTTTATCCTGCCAGATTATATCCTGGAATAAATCTAAGCAGATGGCATTTTCCTGTGTGTAGTAAAATGCTGTAGTGTGAGCAGTCTTTAAAAATAGCTAGCTGTGTACGAAAATAAATGTTTCACACATGGCCTAAATTTAGAAACCTTTTACCATTAGGTACAGTACATGTTAAATTTACAAATTGACCGTAGTTACATATCTTGGCTGGAATTTGAAAGATTTCATAGAAATCAGACTAAAACCTGTTTGGGGAAAAAAAAGTGAAACCATAATGTAGTATGCTGAATTCTTATTACTTTAAGGTAATGAAATGTTATATTAAGTTATAAAAATTCTAAGATGCAGAAATTTTCATTTTGAGTTAAGTTCCTGAATGACTGATGTGTACCTCACCTTGGCTTTCTCCAGTACCCTGCAATAAAGAAAGCCATTGTTTTCTATAGAGCATTGTGTCTTGATAAAGACATAAAGACAGAGTAAAATCAAGCTGGAGAGCTGTTAAAAGAGTAATGAGGTTCAGATGCTTGTGTTGTTAACTGAATGGCCTAGATGTAGCCAGAAGTGTGTAATTTGATCAGGCATTCCACTGGCCTCCTGAAAGACCAAAGAGCTGGAGTTACAGCTCTGAGGTGGCTAATGTAAGGATTTAGATTAAAAAATGTGACATAAAAAGATGATTGGACTTTAGTCTGTGGGATTTCTGTATGTTTGGTTGGAGTTTTAATTGTTTCAATCATGAATACCCAAGATAACATTGTAATTTAAGAAATATCAAACTTGTAATAGGAAGAGGTTATTAATTGAATTAACTGCACTAGGGATCTAACCATTTTTATGAATTCATATTTCTAGCACAAAAATACGTTTAGCCTTGGCACAGTCTGGTGTCTTGACTTTATTTCTGCACTGTTCATGAATGTTTTTGTCAGTCATCCAGTATAATTTAAAAACAGATTCTGGAGACTGAGACACTGTTGTTCATATATCCACCACATATCTGGGAAAATAAATACTTCTACACTTTAAAAAATGCCAAAATTCAAGAGGACATCCATTCAAATAATTCAAACTCAAGATGTACAAACATCAGATTTAAATAACAAGCTTCCTACGATTACAAATATCTTCAGCAGTATTTTTACTCAGTTAGGTGAATCTAACCGTGTAAACTGAAGCTGTGTGGGCTGGCATTGTGTGAACTTACAGCTGTTTGAATTTGGATCTGAATTGGCCAGATTACAATTATTTTGCGATGAAAATTTCCATGTACCTGTATTTTTCAGTTTAAACTACCTTTATTGCAACAATTCCGAACCATCTAATCATGATTTGCAGAAAGGATGTAATCTTTCCCTCCGTTTTCCACTTCTCTGGATATTCACTGCTGCAAGCCTTTGTTTCCCTGTGACTTTCAAGTGTTCATTTCCTGAGCTTCTGTCCTGTGCTGCCTTTGCAAGGATTACTTCCTTTGGGCTGCTCAGTCAATTTTCACTGGGGGGAAAAGGTCTCCTATATGGGTGCTGCGTGCTGTATTCTTTGCTTGCTTGACATTTTGCTGTGCTTTGGTTTGCTCAGCATGGTTAGGGTTAACGTGGTAGAGCAGGTAGTTTCTTAAATGAATAGAGTTCAATAGCTGGTTATAAGAGCCATTGTCAAGCTGCAGAGACGGTATTCCAGACAGGTTTGACACCAGCAGTAAAGCAGCTGCCCCTGACTTGGCTTTGAATTCAGTCCTTCATTTGCAAATCCTCAGGCAGAGAAAGTATGAGCAATAGGATTAAAATGGGGGGGGGAATCATGCATGTCAGAAAAATGGTGTACTCTATGCTAAGCAAGAAAGAGAAAAAAGCTTGCTGCAAAAGCTCCTTTTAGCATATTGCTAAACGTCTCTTCCAGCTGCAAACGCTGCAAAGCGAGAACACCACTCTCAGGCGGCAGGTTACAACCAATAACTATCAGGTCCCGACTGGGTCCGAGTACCCAGAGCCCGCCAGCCCTTCAGCCTCAGCCCTGACGTGGCGGGCATCCGCGCGCGGCAGCCGGCCCATGTCTATGTATGAGACTGGCTCGGGTCTGAAGCCCTATCTCCCCAAGGGAGATGCCGCCTTCACAGAAGAGGGTATAACCGCCCTGCATCCCTTCACGCCACATGTAAGTAGACCCGCAATGAGCTCCTGCTGTTCTCTTCTTTTCAGCTGTTTTTTTTTTTTTTTGCCCTCTTGCCACCTGTCTCAGTTGTTCTCTCACTCTCATGAAATTGTGCCCCTTTTCCTTTTTCAGTCATTTCCTGCTGCTACTCCACACCTGGCCAATATCAGGCACCGCAATGCCAAGCTATTAAGGTCACACAGCTGGGCCCACGTCGCAGCCTGACGAAAATGCCTGATAGAGGAATGAGATTTTTATATCTCGGTGAAATTCCTCAGCCTGTGTTTTTTTTTTTTTTCTGGTTTGATTTTTCATGAATTTCATGTGAAAAGAACCCAAATGATTTCTATATTGAATGAAATCGGCTTAATGCGAGTAGCTGTGTTGAATTCTGATTTCTGGATTTTGTTGTTTTTAAAATGCTCCTTGAAGACCTGTTTCAAAGGACATTTAAAACTTCATGGAATGATACAGCTTTTAAACCATTTGCTGCGAGACTTTTAGGCTCCATATTTGGGCAAACGTTGAAATAAATTAGTAATGCTTAACTTTAGTCGTAAGCTCAGGGAATTTTAGATCTGCTGTACCATTTGTAATTGAACAAGTGTTTTTCCTGTAAACAACCATCGCACATTAGGAATACCAGTCTATACATGAAAAAGCTCCATGGTTGTGGTGTAACTGAGAATGATCGTTTTTAAAGAGACATAAAAACATTGTGAAGGTATGTATTAACGTCATTTGGAGATAGTATTAAACATGTCTTTCAAGTATTTCTTTGCTTTTGTGCTTTTTTGTTTTACCTTGTTCACATTATCAGCAAACCTAGACCATTCCTGGGTGTGTTCTGATTTTATTTCTGTTTTGTAATGAGGTGGAGGGTGTCTTTTTCAGTTCCTAAGATTTCATTCAGCACAACACTCTGGTTGAAAATCATGAATTTCTTTCACGAATATAAGGTGGCGTCTGGAATGTAGAGTAAAGAATTAAATTTTTGAAGCAAACTTAATTAAATTAAAATTACTTGAATTGCTTGTCAATTCACCAATTAATGAAAAGATGCTTTTAATATGCTTAGACAAGTATTTAATACCTTGGCAAATTTAAACTGGGAAATAAGATTTAAGAAATTTAATCTCAAACATGCTGTTTGTGCTGGATTGTAAAATTTCGTTTTTACTTTTTCTTTTGTCGTTTTTTCTCTCTTTTTTTTGCCCGAGTATTGTTTTTATTTGTTTACCCTTTCAGATTGGGAGGAGCGCTTTTGTGACCTCCTCTTCATCTCTCCCCTCCTTCCCTTCCATGCTCTCCTGGTCGCGGGACGAGAGTGCGCGAAGGGTTAAGTACCTTCTCACTTGGTCTGCTCCCCGGAGGAGGCGGCGATTCCTGCGAGAGACCCCCACTTCCTCCCGCGCCCCCCTCCCTCTGACCTCCACTTCCTTTTCCCCTGTCCTGCAGCATGACCCAACTCTTCATGACCTCACCTGCCTTCGCCGCCTGATACGTATCTCCACCCTCCTCTCACCATTCTCCGTGCTCCCCTTCTGTGTGGTTTCTTCCATTTCCTTTTTTTGTTTTTGGCCTCATCTGTTTTAACCTCACGCCCTCGGAATGCTGCGATGATGGTCACAGGTTTCTTAATTCTCCTCGGTGTGCTCTCAAAATCTCTCCAAAATCTTTGTTTTTCCGTTGTTATCCAATGAGTATTTGGTGAATGGAAAAACCAGATTCACAAAACAAAAACGCCTTCTGTTAAAAAAAAAGAAACAATCTCAAATTAGTTGTTTAGCTGAACGTTTCCCACAAGCTCCAGGAACCTTTCTTTTACAGGTGATAATTAAATAGCAAGTCCGACTCTCCAGATTTCAGAGTGCTCGCGATGAAAAGCGATCGACGCTGAAAACAATGCAGCAGTCGTGAGATTTTGATAGGACACTGTCAATAACAGCACACTATGCTACTAAAAGTGCCCATTCATAAGGAAAAAGAGCTGGCTGCTGGTTTAGAAGCAGTATTTTTGACACATTTAGGTTGTCACAATCTTCCTGATCTTTTTATATGGTGTTTATGAAAAGCAACACGTTTATTGTTATTTATATTTTGGAAAAAAACATGGATATGTTTTGCCTTCTTAATTAAAATGTTCTCACCTTGGTGCATTAAAATTTGAAATGTGTGTTGTATGTTTTTGAAAGCCAGCACCAGCTGTGGGTTTTTTGTCTTCTTAGAATTCTAACTTGGTGGTTCCATCGAGCATGTTTGCACTACAGTAACTCTGATTGTACTGCGCAGGGGATTTGCAATCGTTGGCAAGTTATCCAGGAGAGAATTTCCGTTCATTTTATTTGGAAGAGGAATTTTCGGTGGTCGTTAGACACAGAAATGAATAATACCTTTCTGATCACCTAGTTCACAAAGCAGCTGTATGTTGTAAGTGTGACCACTCGAGATACTGTGTGTGGCATCATGCCCGTCAGATATGAAGAGGATTGTGTGTGGGCATGTGTAGGATGGAAGGGTACGTATTTGGTTTTCTGACTGCCTGTCGCGCTGCTTTGAATGCTTTTCACAGCCTGTGTGTCTCTGGAGATGGACCCTGCAGTGAAAGATGATGTAAAAGCAGTGTGCCCAGAATAGTCTTTTGCAGTTCAGAGGGAAACATTTAAAAAAAAATACTTATGTGGCTTGTTAGATAAAAAAAAACATAGTCTTTTAGTTTAGTTTACTAGGAAAGACCAAGGTAAAATATTAAAAAACGCAATAAAATTAAATATGTACTCCTGCTTCTGGGTAAATCTTCGTAACTAAAAGTTTCTAAAAAACTTTTTTTTTAACATAAATCTCAGTGATTTGGTTTAATGTTAATTTATAGTTATTCCTAAAATGATCATGCTACAAATAAGACCAGAAGTGTGCAGTATTGGCATGAAATATGCCCTAAACAGTGCTGTCATCCACAGATGGTTTAGCAGAGGCCTTCAACAGTTGGTTTGGACAACCTTTTTTACAATAATGCCAGAAAAGCTCAGGGCTAATCTTGCTCATGTCTAGTGAAACCTGCAATAAGGAACTCTTGTCATTTAGAATCTGTAAATGCATGCTGTTAGAGAATAGCGAAGCACTTAGCTTCCTGTGGTTAATGTTTGACTTTGGTGTTCCTGCTATTGTGCGTTTACTTCTGCCTTGTGCATTGTCGTTTCATGTTCTAATCAGGAGTTCAAATGTTTAAATCCACTTTGATCAGGAAAAACTCCACAGTGGGAGTTTTCATTCCAATACTTTTAAAACTGTATTTGACACTTATGTAGGCGTGGATGTTTTGCTGATTTGTTATGTGGTTGGCCAGTCTTTAGTGTTGGTGTAATGATGACACAAATGAAAGACATTTACTGTATTTAAGAAAAAAAATATTTGAACCCCAGAATGACCTCTGTTGACTAACTTGGGCAATTAAAATTTTAACAGCTTCATCTTAATTATAATCAAATTAATGTCTTGCTTAGAGGTGTTGTTTTCTTGTTTCATGCAAAGTAGTTTGTCTTTTTTTTCCCCCTATCATGGTTATTTTTCAAAGGGATGTGGATCTTAACTCCAGCTTCTTGGCTGAAAGAAAATGGTTTAAAACGGTTAAAATTCCTTGCCCGTTATTCTGGTTGTAAAGTATATATTTTCCTTGGAGGCTTATTCTAAAACTCATGGAAAAGTATTTCCATTTTTTAAACATTTCTCTGAATTTTTATAATTTTACTCTTTGTGATAACCAGGAATAATCCCAACAAGAGTGGGGGAAAAAATATAATACTGTGTAGTTTACCATTAACTGTGTTCAGGACGTTTCTGTTTTGTGGTCGCTAGTAAAGCTTTGGGGTAAAGAAAACCCTGTTTTTGAAAGAAGCTTAAAAACTGGTTTGTTGGCAAATGTTATTTTTTGTTACTTGGTGCTGAATGTTTCTGAAAATTTCAAACACAACTTTGCATTGAAACAGGAAAACTTGCTCTTGTCTGCAGCGTCTCTGAAAAGATGCCATAGCTGTGAATTGCTTTTTAAACCTACAGGCTAGGCAATCTCTGCTACTGTTCTTCCTATTTTAGGCCTCAAAGATGGAAAAGCAGAGCAGTATACCTGACAGTGACTACGACAACACAGTGAACGACTCCGAGCTGGAAGACGTGGGGTATGGACTTGTTCGGTTCCGCCTCCTGTCTTTTCCTAGTTTTTCTACAGAGGGCAGGCGGTGATCTGTTCAGTCAGCAGGACTTTTTTTCTTAATCGTGTGACTCGGTTAGATATTGCAGAGTGTGCTTAAAGATCCCATCCTTGCAGACTGTGTCGGAAAGGCAAGCAGAGGAGCAGCGGTTGGCAAGGTGACGGATCCATCCCTGAGCTGGACGACTTAGAGGCCGAGCCAGATGCCACCCTGCCCAGCACGGAGGACGTCATTCGCAAAACTGAACAGATCACCAAGAACATCCAGGAACTTCTGCGAGCAGCACAGGAGAACAAGCATGACAGGTGAGACTGGGGATAAGTTCCCCGGAGTGCCGAGTGTGCAAAGAGTGTAATCACATCTTCCTGCAAGATAGGCAATTTCCATTGAGCTGTGCTGCCCTAAATTGCATGGGCTCAGCTTATATGCACTGCATGGTCTTTGTTGGTATGCAAGTGTAGCGAGACTCCAGTGGCAAATGGGATATCACACATGAGGCTGGTGACAAAGACTTTCATGCAGTTAAGTGCTTTGCCTCTTTTCTAAATCATCCCAGATCTGCATTACAGCATTCTAGTAATAATTCCCATTCTTTAATTTTTCTCATCTTCTCCTGTTTTTCCCTCATCTTCTTTTCAACATTCATGTTCTCGTCATTCGGTTTCTTTGGCATGGATGAAAGAAATAGTTTAATTTTGGTTCTTCATCCCTATGATTTCATTCTTTCTATTTTCTGTCTCCCTCTCTCTCTTTTCCTTTTGACTTTCTTTGACGTTTTCTGGTTCCTGTTCTCCATTCTAAGCAGACCTTTTGAGCGTGAGAGCCTGCGAAAGCTTAGGCACAGCCTGGGCTGTTTCAGTACCCTGGTGCCCTGGGCCGAAAAATCTTCTTCCCTGCAGCCTCTCAGCCTCCACCAGCCTGACCCTGCCTCCTGGTACTCTGGCCTCTGCCCCTGCCTCCCAGGCACAGTGTCTCCTCTCTCACTACAATGTGCCGTGGGGCTGGATTAAGGGTTCCATGATTAAATCAGTCCTAGCGGTAGAGATGTAACTTTGTAACTTTGACTGTACTTTGATTGCTAAGGCATGGAGGAATTGTTGAGATACATTATGTTTTCGTTGACTGACTGGCATTATTGCAGTTACCTTTGTAGAAAGCCCAGATGGGAGCATTGATATTACCTAATTAACTTTTTACCCCTTTTGTCTAATGTTAGTGGAACACGTATGTAGTATGGCAGCAGTGGTCAGGGTTCTGGACTTGTAACTGGAAGGTTGTGGGTTCAGATCCCAGGCGAGACACTGCTGTTGCACCCTTGAGCAAGGTACAGTAACTTCATCCAAATTGCTCCAGTAAAATAATCAGCTGTTTAAGCTGCTTGGATAAAAGTATCTGCCAACTATAATGGTACAGTAGTGGAGACCTTTTGATTTGGCTTCCAGCAGTGTTTTTGAGGATACAAATTGGCTGTTATAAAAGAAAAATACCAGTTTTGGAAAACTCCAGAACTAGATTATAGGCTCAAATGTAGTTCATATATTCACTGCAACTCAGTGTAGCCCAGCAGCACTATATCCACTGCCTTTTATGTCTTCTCTTTCACTCCTTTATGACCTCTTGACCTTAAAGGTCCCAAAATTCATCAAGAAAAAAGTACAATTATAGTGTTGAATCACTTCTTTCCAACTTGCAGATTACAATGAGTTACACTACTTCAAAACCAAAACAGCTCAGCCTTGGGCTTTTAATTTTAGTTTATGTAATTATTTAATTGGTTTTACAATCGAGCCTCTAGGTAAAACTCTAGAAAAAAAGGCATCTTTTTCTATGACTTTAGAAATCATTCCTAATTTACCAGCAAGCCATTTCAAATTAGCGTTCACGTGATAAAAGACAAGTATGTTGGATGTTTTAAGGAAAATGAAAAAATAAGGTGTTCTCATTTAGACTGTATTTTGGCTGCAGCACTTGTTTAGTTAGGCAACATCTAATTACAATTTTCAAAACAAACTAAAAAGAAATTCTTCTGTGCTTTAAGAAAAGCACGAGATAGAAATGCTAGAATTATGGTAGCCTTGAACATTTGTTTTTACAAAGTAAAATGGGTGTGAAATGCTATTCTTATTTCACTTGATCAATTTGTTAATGCCATAAACATAATGAGATCAGTTAACCAGTTCAGATCTGGTGCTTTGTTCAAATGCAATCAATATCTGTGTTCAAAAGACATGACAGGTGTTTCAGGTTTTAACCTTAAAAGAGTGCATGTTGTTGTTTTTCTCCAGTGGATATCATTATTCCTAATGTTTGTTTTGTCCCTTTATAGTTTTATACCATGCTCGGAAAGAATACATGTGGCTGTGACAGAAATGGCTGCCCTCTTTCCCAAGGTAATATTTTACTTTCCGTTTGACTCCTGAACTGATTCTTCGTGGGGGGAGGCGGAGGTGGAAAGCAGAGGTTCATGACACAGGTTTTTGGGAGGTTGTCGGAGGAAAGCGGACATTCACTGGAAAGAAAACTTGGCTGTTTCTGTGTGGACTTTAAAAAAAAAAAGTCTTTCTTAAACCTGCTTTTTTCACATCCAAATATGCAATTCATCTGGGGCTTTCTAGCGGCGGAAACAGCTGGGAGAACTGATTAAAAAATGTGGTTATCACATAATACGAGAGTGATTTAAACACCTAATGTCTGCAAAAGCGCTGATAAGAAGTACAATTTTAAAAGGGAGGGGAATCTGATCTGCTTTGCAGAAGCCAAGGTCCGAGCTGGTGCGGGGCTCCCTCAGACTGCTGACGTCCAGCGCTTACCGCCTGCAGTGTGAGTGCAAGAAGACGCTCCCGCCTGAGAGCAGCCCGGCCCCCGACATGCAGCTGGTCACCCAGCAGGTCATCCAGTGCGCCTATGACATTGCCAAGGCCGCCAAGCAGCTGGTGACTATTACAACCAAAGAGAACAACAACTGACACGCCGTGCTGGACAAGAAGGGAGGGAACCAACTGTTACAATTCCTTAACTGCTCCTTTAAGAGTTGATGTGCAGTTTTTGTATTTACAAAATGAATCGGAGATACAAGTTTTGTTTTAATTTTTTATAGCAGTATTAATATTTGCATGTCATTTTTTTTTATTTAAAACTTTTAAAAACCCACACAATTTAGCCAAATGCCTTATGGCAAAGCCTGTGTTGTACTTCCGTTTAAGTGGTAGTTGCCAACATGTTTTCATCCAAAATGGTTTGCTAAAGCACTCCTTTGAATTTTGTAGCCTCCTTGTGGTACTGTTGGGGCATTCATGCACTTCATGTCTGTAATGTAATATTGAAAAGGTGTCCTTTTGTCATTGGAATAAACAGAGTACAGGTAGTTCTCGATTTACCTGCGCTTGATGTGGTGATTTGTGATACCCAGTTATGTGCTGGGATAAATAGCATCACTTGGATGACACACGGGCAGCCAGGCAATCTTTTTACTCTTCCAGGTGTCTCCCATCATCTCACACTTAATAAATAAATGTAGAACACGTCTTGATCTTAATCTATACATTCTGTTTAAAATGTACTGTATAAGATAAAGCCCTAAAGTAGTGATTATGTGGAAAAAAATCATCCACCTTAACACTCAGTATATTTAATGATGAAATAAATCAGTCTACAGTTAGTAAAATTCAGAAAATCAAAATAAATTAATAAAAAGTCTTAAAAACCAAATCTGGAAAAAAAATCTGGATTAAAACCTTAAAAAATGTCATTTTAAAGGCTTAGAGTTAAGAAAATATTTGTTCAATCCAGATGTATAGGCTTAACTCCTACAGTATACTTTGCTAACTATTCACCACCCACCACTATCAGTTTTTTCAAGTATGAGATTGATAAACATTTAGGGTTTATTTTAGTACAAATTCTACAGATTTGTAGTATTCTACAAATGTGAATTCTGAAGAATTTGGCCCTCTGGATAGGAGTTAATCCAGATTGCATCACCCTACTATTTACATTCACTCTTATTGGAAATTGTTTTTTGATACTGTATACACAGCATATTGGAAATCGGTTTTTGATACAGTATACACAGCATTTTTCCAGGAACACTTGTACTGCATAAATTGAGGACTACCTGTACTCTAAATGAAGGGATGAGAATCTTAATGTTGGTGGTATTTGCACAGCATTATAGCAATATGAATGCTCTAACTTCATATTTTGTCTCTTGCCTGACGGCTTGGATTAAAAGTGACTTGTGATTTTTTTTAGAATTCCAATGATAATTTAAGACAGTTTGCTGAGGCAAATGCTCTGCCTACCTGTGAAATAGAGAAAGCTGCCATTGAACATTTTAAGAAGACAGGAATGAAGTTGGGTTTGCTCAATGATAGAATATTTGTTTTAATTCTTTTCTAGTTAGTGCAGGAAATTTTCAGTACAATTGTTATACTGCCTGTATTCTAAGAACATGTAAAGCCTAGTATGGAGTGTATGACAGTGAAAATGTTCAGATTGTCAGCCACCCAAACCTGGGATAATACCTGGACTTTGTCACCTTTGACTTTGCCATTTTCTCATTATATAAATGAGCCATAGTAGTGTTAGACAATCCCAAATCCTAAAGGTTATTTCAAGTAGACTGCAATCCTTTACCTCCATTACTAACCCCTTAACAAGCCCTGTGCTTGAATAGAAGCTGCTTACCTTTATACTGCCTCAGTATTTTGACCCATAGGCCCTGTCGAGAAAACATGCTCGTATCACATTTGTTCTTCTCAGTGTCAAACTTTGTAAAAACTAAAAGCCATAGCTTGGTTGTTTTACAGCATTAATATACCTCATAAGCCGAACACCATTCAGAGCTAAACCCTTAGCCAATATATGCATTTCCTTAAACTCAAATTTATATATAACTGACTGTAGTATTATTTCCTGAATTATAAACGAAGTCTGACATTTTTAAAGAAGTTAATCCCTACCTTTCAGTTAATTTGCTAAGTTAAATGTACTTAATTTTTAATACAAAAAATATAGATTAAGCAAAATAATAGAGACTAGTAGTTTAAACTGAAGTTTACATTCTAATGTACATCATCTAACATTTCTTACTTCAATCTGCACTTAAGTGAATTGCATTTTACCCTGGTATAATGTGCTTAAAAACTTCTCTTCCAGATGATGTAAGCAAAGAAAATGAATCAATCAAAACATCGTCACACCAGACATTTTTTTCCACTGTTTTGTCTTGATGTTGCTTTTTATAAAAAAAAATTACTTTGTGCCATATATATTTAATTGTTTGTCACAAGTGCCGCCAGGTCACACAGATCAGCCATGCTGCTAAATTGTCAGTCCATGTTAAAATTAATGGGATGGGAGGAGGTTGGCAATGCCCTTTCATTATTCTGCTACAGACGTGTCATCTTTGATACAGGAAGAGAACTCATTTTTCAGTGTTACACTTAAAAGCCAGCAAATGAAAAAGTCAATTAATTGACAGCCTGCCTGTTGCAAACTCAGCAGTTCTTCATGGTGATGTTGTTCATGCAGTTGGTGCTGCAGATTAAAACTTTTTTTTTTATTTTTAAAAAAAAATTATTTATAACTGTAACCTTAAAATACACATTTTTTAACTGTTCAATGTATAAATTTATTGTAAAGTTATTTTATCTGCCTTTTGTGTTACATATTTTTTCTTGCCTGCTAATTATGCAATAAATCAGGCTTCAAATTAAAACTGCTTAGTAAGACTTGTGTATGACCTTTGTTTTATATTTGAAATTAAGAACAAAATACATTTAAGCAATTATAGATTATGCAATATTTAATTCTATTTACACATGATTTTATTGTATACAAAATTGTTGTTACAAATATTTTAACAAGTTAAAAAGCTACATAAAATATTGAATATTGGCATAAAAATGAATATTTTCATGAGAGCAAATCTGTTTTCACTCTGTAGCATTTCCACATTGAACTTAAAGCTAAAGGAAAGAAGAAGTTGAAGCAGGTTTGCAGTGATTCCTGATCTCAACAAACTGAGCCTAAAGACTGTTAAGCCTAAAATTTAAAAGACTTGCCTATTGGTTTGAGACTAATGCTTATCACAGCATGATGACAGTGAGTTTGAAGACATAGGCCCTCTCACTTGATCAAGGTTCTTTGGCTTCTAATCATCCATCTTAAAATCTGCAGATTATCAAAAAAAGCTATTTCATTTTCAGACATTCCCTCAACAATCTTCAAGCTCATCCATTCCAAACATTTTTTTTAATGTAACATAGTCCATTGCTAAAGAGAAACTGTTGTCTACATCTACTGTCACACTTGTATCTGCTTCTAAATTCCAAGTACAGCTAAGGTCTATAATCGGTAACAGTTCAGGCCATTCAATGAAATAAAGTAAAATGGGGTCATGAGATTCATTGCATTTCTCACCATTAAATGGAGAAATGGTGGTATTGACATTATCCCCTTTTCAAACTGTACAATTATTACACTGTAATAGATCCCCCTTATTATTTATATACAAAGGATACTGTCATTGTTTTCTGAACAGGCCATAGTGTGCTGGAGGTCATCCCCACCCTATGTCCATGCTGTTCGTGGGCGACTGCGAAGCTGATGGAAACAAGAATATTTCTGATCATCTTTGCGACCGGAGTTTTGAACTGAAGAACAGACTTATTTCACGTACACAAACAAGGATTTATAATGATCATTTGATCTGAAAAGTACAGGACAGGAGCCCTGTCAGCCAGTCCTGTGAAAGAGCTCTTTAAGCACAAGCACTGCTATACCAATCATTATGCCTAGAAGTATAATTTCTAGGAACAGTGAATGAAAACTATAATCATGCTTTGTGTACAACATAGTGTTGATCAACACATAGTGTTGATTACGTCAATGTGAAAAAACAGGTGTGTAGAATTACACACTAAGCCCAGTAGCATCTCCCTACCTTGTCCTGATATCCACGCTGTGTCATCCTCTCCGTCTCCAGCTGGAGCTCTTCCATGTATCTCCTCTCAGCCTCTCGCTCCTCCTCTTCCTCCTGGTCTCGTCTTCGCAGATCTTCCCACTGCTCTCTGCGCCGTTCTTCCACCTGCATCGCAGCAGCACAGAAGTGAAATAAAGGGGTTTCAGAAATCTGATCCTAGTTCTGTACAGATCGCTAACCTGATTGATCAATAACCAGCTTAGTGCATACAGTACCTGTGCTGCGATCTCTTGCTTGCGTGCCGTCTTCAGCTCCTCTTCCTCCTCTCTCTCGCGCCTCCTCCGCAGCCTCTCCAGCTCCAGTTCTCGGATCAGCTGCTCCCGGCGCTCCACAGACTCCTGCTGCGCATGCCTGTTCTCCTGCATTTTCTCCTCCAACTGCAGCTGCCTTCCCGCCAATACCTGTAATTCGGCTGTCAGCTCAGTTCCTGCCCTCAGAATGTCACGCATTCTCATTTCAGGCATTCTCCTAACACCAGCGCTTCCTCTACCGGAGTCAAGGCCACAACAACTAACAACACAGCTTACTGCTCCGACACGTACGATTGTTTCAGCAATGGTTAACAACCCTAAGGCAGACAGCTCAATGATCCAGACTGACACTGTGTGCACTTACCTTTCATTAAAAATCACAATTAGAAAGTGGGGTTACGTCCCACGGAATATCTTGTTACCAAATAATTTCAAAACAATATTGGTGATACTGACAATCAGAAAGATCCCAGAATAACTCATAGAAATGGTAGTTTCCCTGTACCTACCTCCTGCATGAGACGTTCCCTGGCTTTTCTCTCTTTTTCCCACTCTGCCTCTCGCTTCTCCCACACTCGCTGCGCCTCTTCTCTGGGGAAATCACACACGTTACCATTCCTGCCCCCAGCTCCAGGTTGTGGATGAGTAGACGGGTACATATGTCAATTCACAAAGGTGTGCTGTACGTGAAACTATTTTAGAGATCAGTTTCATGTTAGGAACCATCTCTCTTATCAGCTTATAAAGTAATGTAGGACAGAATAAAAGCACCACAAAGGTGAAGAATCTGATACAAACCAATTCCTTGCATAAACCACAAATTCCACCTTATCAACTGAAACAGCTCTTACCAAGACCGATTTTAGTATTACAGAACATATTTTAGACACCACTTCTTCATGCCACAGAAGTATTTTTAAATAACGCTAGAAAATGATTTTTGTTTGAGGTTCACGGAGACTGGCTGGGAGCAGGTGCTGCCCTAACCTGTAGAGGACGTCAAACTCGGCTTCCCTCTCTCTCTCCAGCTGAAGCTGCTCCTCGATGACTCGCTTCATCCAGGCAGCATCAGCCACAGCCCGCTCCCTCCGTGCACTGATCAGCTGGAGCTCCTCCTTCTCTCCCTCCAGGAGGGCAGCCAGGATCCTGCGATCTGCTTCCTGTCATCGAGGAACCAAACGATCAGCCACGCGACATCGGGCACGTTAAAGCCACACGCCGTCGAACATCCAACACAGTCAGTGCACCATCTGCCTGGAATTGATCTCATTTAAAGCGGGAAGATTAATAGGAAAGGAAATGTTATGCAAAAACACTTCTCAAGTTATTTTATGTGGATGCTCTCTTTACACTCACCAGCTCCTCCTGTACTTGTTGAGCTCGCCTCTTCATCTGAGTGCGATACTGACGGGTCAGAATCCGTCTGCAGGGTTGAGCAACAGGAGAGAACTTCAAATGCCAGGACTAGTGTGTACATCATCACATGCGACGAAACAATCCTAAACGTCTCCTTCATTCACCCATCTTTCAATTACCCGAGTAACATCAATCTGTCATAAACCTTTCAAGCCAAAAAATAGATCCTCTTTAAGTCCCTGACTTCTGTCCCTGATTCTCCCACCTCACTAATTACTGCTCAACCCTTAATGCATCTCTTCAACCAGAGTAAGCAAAATCTGTCCCTTCCCCCACACCTCCCCTGGTCCCCCGTTTGTTCTCACTAGCTCTGTCGTACCCCAGCTCTGATTTCTTCCTGCGCTCCTCCAGTTTCCTCCTCTCCTCCTCAAGCTGCTCCACCTCCCAGCGCTGTGCCAGCAGGGCATCCTGCTCCTTCCTGAGACGCCTGGCCTGAAGCAGAAAGCAACTTCATCATCACACAACCCCTCTCACGACTGCGTCATGAAAAGAAAATGACAAATTCTACTTCTTAAAGAAGCAGGTCCTTTTTCAATCGTTCTTCACAGCTGATGAAAATCCCAAAGTGGGCTTTTCAGGAGCCGGTTCCTTATTCTAGGGATGCCTGCACAGACTGTTTGTGTCCCTGACGGGACCCCCAGGCGCAGTGCTTACCTCCTCATCTCGCAGCTTCAGCTCTTCCATCTGCTGTCGCAGCTCCTCTGCTCTCTGTTTCTCCTCTGCTCTCTTCCTCTCTTCTTCCTTCTTCATTCTCTCCAGGGCCTCCCTGCGACTCTTCTCATACTCGTTCTCAAACCGCCTTTGCTCTTCCCGAGTCTCTTCTGCTTGCTGCAGATTAACACCAGCATTACAGGCCCTCAAAGGTGACACTTCATAACAAGGGCACAAGGGCTACAAGCTGGACGCCTGTCAAGCTCCATGGAATTGTATTTTGCTGACAGCGAGCCATTTTTAAATTCACCGAGTTCTTGTTTTGCTCACTTTAGGATATTAAATTACTGCAGTGACATGCTTTCATGTTGTTTAGTACAAAATTCATCAAATGTGCAAATAATCTGATATTTATATACGATTATCTGGATATTCAAAGGTGTTATAAAGAAACATTTAGACAGCTGAAGTTGTAGCATGTTACTATTTGAAGTTCAAATATTAGAATTTTGACTTTCAAAGGTTAATGTCACCATGTGTTTTCAAAGCTGCAGTGAGGTAAAAAATGTAAGAGAGCATGTTAAAGGAAATATGAAGGAGTCACAGAGAAGTAACACTCTGCATGGAGAACAGGTACTGCTCCAGCCCGGCATTTAGCCCTAGGTTAGGTGAGAATAAAAGGTCAGTGGCCAGAGACCTGTGGCTCTTAGACTCAGCCTGAGTTTCACAGGATGTATTACAATGGAGCGTCACACAGCGATATGTACAATTAACCCAAGTCATACTGCCTGACCACCAGGGAGATGTATGAGGGGCCATGGCATTCTTCAAATGACATCTAACTTCATGATACATTTACTCAGACTTCAGTAAAAGCATAATTGTTAACAGGAGATATTGAAAGAACATTCATTTCAAATGTTAGGTGCCAGTGCATTTTGCTTTTCTGCAAAGTTAAGCAAGAACTGGTATTAGATTACCCTATGCCTCTCAATAAGGCATAGGGGCAAATGTTAATTAATGGTGATGGTGCAGGTACCTGTTTTTTTTCTCTCGTTTGCACCTGCCAGCTGTTCACTACATGGTCCTTGTGCAATGCTGATTCAACCTAGAATATAAAAGTATAAGGGGACGTTAAGGATTTCTTTCCTAACTTTAACACCTAACACTAAGAAGACAGAAAGTCAGATAAAACTTTTATGTCAAAACAATTGCATATTAAGCTGTATATATGTCTATTTAAATTAAAAAAAACAGTCTCTTAGGCTTCAATTGATTCTGCAAAATCCCCTGCTGCAGGTAGCAGGTCTCTGAAGAAATAATTTATCATTATGGGACAGGAACTCAATCCTAGGGTCAGGATTACACACTGTCATGGAACAATGATGTCAATGGCCTATTAGTTTCAGGATCAAGTCAACACCTTGACGCACTTCTCCTCACACTTTCACACCATGTGGTTCTCTTTAATTTTGCTGTATTTCAAGGACTCAGAACAACATTAACATTTTAAAAACTGATCCCTAAGATTCATTGCAGTTAGTAAGAGTACCCTACCTTTCAGAATGTAACACGTAGGATACAGAAATACTAGAGATGAACAAATTTCATATAACTGGATGCCTTCTGCATGTACCTCAAAATACAAGTAAATAACAAAGTGATGTTTGCAAATAAACCTTCAGACCATGCTTTTACCACATAAAGCATAGAAAAACAAACTGTACCTGACGTAAATCTGAATTATTTCTCTTCCAATGCTCCTGCAACAGCTCCTCTGCCACCTGTGACCAAAATCAAAAACTGCATTAAGGATTGCCAACAAGAATGCAGCTAACTCGATGATCAGGCCACTGTTTTCTCCCAGTCATAGCTTGGCACCAGCTGTCTTTGTTCTGTCTCACCCTGAACCTTTATCTTTCGCACGAATCCCACAATAACACGATTGATTATGTCAGGGCTGGATCAGGCTGAAATATTTCCCTGCTTACTTCAAACTACAGGAACTGGTTTCTGTAACGTGAGCACTGCTTGTACCTTCTTTCTCCGCTCTTCCCTGGATGTCCTGAGCCCCTCCATCCTCTCTGTCATCTGTTTGGCCAGCGTCTCTCTGTCGGGGACCAGTTCTCTGAGCTCAGCCTCCAGCTGGTCCCTCTCCTCCTGCAGGAAGGCTCGGAGACGGGCCCTGCGCTGCTCCAGACTCCTCTTCTTCTCCTCCTTCACTTTCTCCTGATGGTAGGCTGTCATGCTGGCAACAGGAGAGAGGCTGCCAATACTTAAATGGGAAAACTCAGCAGTTCACAAGGCTAAGAATTATTAGTAGACCAGTGGAATATGAAAGCACTTTTAAAACTGAACACAGGAGTCCTTTTTTTTCCCCACATAACTTTATGGAATAAGCTGCCCAACCATGTTGTTAAGCACGATACCCTGACATTGTTCACGAAATTGCTGGATGAAACCCTCGGATCTATGAGTTATAAACAGCTACATGAGCTAGTTGTGCTGCATGTCCTCCTCTAACTTGTAACCTTTCTCACGCTCTTTTTTAAAGATCAAGGCAAGAATCAAGGAATCTTGCTTTATTGCAACGGGTATATATGAAAATAACGTTTTTCCTATTTTTTATCTTAGTTCTAAAAAGGATTGAACGCCTGTAGAAGGGAATGACTGTTTTATAAGAGTGATCTAATTCCATCCCAGCAAATTATCCTCGATGGGTCTCAAACACCACATACTGAACATCCCAAAGCACTTTGCCAAGCAAAGCGCGTGTAAACAAAAAGCAAAATCAACGATTCATCGTTGTCCAGCACATTGAGGTTAATAAAACACATTGTTGAAAGAGGTTTGCTGAATCACCTCTGGTGGTAAGACTGTCGGGAGCTCCACTGGGCTTGCTTGCTGCTCCGCACGTTGTTCTGTTTGAAATACTGCGAGTGCAGCTCCCACTGCTGCCGGAAGCGAGCCTCCTGCTCCCGCTGTCGCACGATCTGCTGCTCCAGAACTCGAGAGCGGCTCGGACAGCGCATCGAGAGGGTGGGAAGAGCCATCTGTTTCCTGCACCTTAAAAAAAAAACAAACGTTCATTGTAATGTAGGAACCCTTTCCTTTCAAACATCAATCAATACTAAAACAGAATGTCACAGGACCACAGATGATTATATTCTACACCCTTATTACCATTATTAAACTTTACAATGGGTATTCCTAGTTTCCTTGCACTAAAAATGACAATAACAACTCATTCACCTTTAGACTTATACATTATTAAATGCGTTACCGTACACAAATAAGCAAGTATTCAACAATATTGCATAGATAAATGTTTAGATGTTACGCGTTATGTTTAACAGTGGTATCGTACTGTTCTTATCCCCTGCGATTTTAAACTAACATACATCGCGATGTACTATTGTAATGTTCATGTGAGACATATTGACTTGGTTTAAACATCTGGTTTCATAAGCACTCGAAATCAATATAATGCGAATTTGTAGTTCATGCAAAAGGGGACAATTCGTCTAAGAGGCAAATACTCACTGTAGAAATATGATTATCACGTTTTCAATAACGCAGTAAGGTAGGCTTTATTCCAAGTGGAAGCTTGTTCCAACTTCAAATTTCAGAAATTTCAGTTGGCGACAGTTCCTTTCGGCTATTTCCTGTTTCACTTGGTAACCGGTTTAACTTCCTGGTTACACTACGGATGCCGTAAGGGACAAAGCACATGCTTAGACGTTTCCCGTGTTCTTAACTAATGTTTCGAAACCGACATTCTGGATGTCCATAGCCTGCGTTGAATCTGCACTTAAAGGCTGATCACAATAATTGTTCAAACAAATTGCATGAAATGGCAGATATAATGGACTTTTCTGGGTTGGTGGCAACTCTACATTTTGTCTCGCTAGAAATTCTCAGAGAAACGCGTTTTAGGCACATGTTTAGCTGAACTTTGTCTTGAAATGCCAAAGATAGCACCTAAAAACCCACTGTTTTATGACTTGCTTGCTTTGAAATGTTAATTTTTTTTTAAATAGAGCATCCAACATTTAGTATTTAGTGTGCGTGGTTTGCTCCTATAATAGCTTCGCTTTTTATTTATTTTTAAATTAGAAAGAAAGTAGAAATTTACGTCACCAGTCATTCACCAGTCACTGTAAATCACAACAATATAGGATATACCTGTCTGGTGAATGTAGGAGACAAAGATTAAATATGCTTCGTTCAATTTCATTGTCTGCCCCGCATTAAATATAGAGCAGCTATGAATGTTTCATGATGAACAGATAACCATGGCTAATTATACCCTAGAAGTGTTGTCAAATATCGAAATTGTCAGTTAAAGGGTAAAGAGGATATAAATAAATTAAAAGAAAAGCCCTTTCACAAGTTTAGAATGTGAGGAGTTGGGTCCTCTGAATTATTGATCCCTTGCAATGTTCTGCTTTAGTACATTTAAGTGTCGCATATATCTTTAACGCAAATAATACAAATAATGCAAATAAGACTTGAAAAGTACCCATTATTAAACATACTGTATATATAGTGATTGATTTATCAGATATTGAATCATCACGACATATTTTTGAAGAGCTGCTTAATTATTTTTGGCATTTTTATAATTCAACGTTTTGACCATGTAGCAAACAAAAAATATATCGCTTTATAATTTATTTACTCGCTTATCTATTTGTTTCTTTCTTTGTCTTTTACAGAGGAAACGTTTAGATAGAAATCTCTCATCTAAAACCATAAAGCGAAAGGGGAGATTATGTACATCTACACTTGTAAAAACCTTTTCTTCACACGAATCAAATCCTCCGGACATTCAATATGATACAACATGCCTGATGTGAGCCCTGTACTGTCTCAATTTTTGTTTTCCTTTTTGGAACCATGTTTAAACTCAAGGACCACAGTTCAACGAGTACTGTAGGTACAGAAGGTTCCAGGTAGGTCTGTGCTGCACGGCTCTGGGAGTTTCTTTTCGGTATTGGCTGGTGTTGTCCCGCCCACCTTGCACCTGATAGGCTAATCCGAAAATCCAGCTGGAGCCACTCGCTCGCTGTGCGGCCCCCCGAGCTGTCAGTTCAGTCGCTCCTCTACTCCACCACACAAGCGCTCTCTCTGACAGTTCCGGGTTTCCGTTTTTGAAGCTTTATTTCCCCCTCGATTGACGAGTTTTAAATTACGGTTTTGCCGTGACAGTCGCACACCATGGCTCTTCTAGCGGAGCATCAGTTTAAACAGCTTCCAGCCGATAAGCAAGTGGATACCAGATCGTTTTTGGAGTCGGTGTCGTACCTTCCGTCTTTCTTCGGTAAGTTTCTTTAAATTCACCTGGGCAGGGAGGACAAATCACCTTTTTAGCAACGGATGCCATTCCTTTCTGTAAACAAAGCGATCTCGGGGTGTGTTGTAGTGTTATCTTTGTGTTTCCACATAAGGATCTAAATCGCTTGAAGTCGTATTATCCATTTTTTTAAATCACCTTGAAGTCTCTTCACTTTATGCACGCACTTTGGAAATGTGTTTTAATGCTCCAGCTTCTTTATAAGATTTAATCTGACCACGGTCAGGTAAACAAAGAGTTTTATCGCTACGTTGTGGTCTGTTATATCAGTGCTTAATAGTAGCATTTTTTAAACGATCGGAAGTTAAATATTTTCATTCAGCTGCTCCGTGAAGTTTAGTCTAACTTTGCCTCGGTAACTTCAAGATGAATGCTAGGTCGGAGGCGAAGCTTACTGTAAGATTCAGTGATGTTCCGTGTTTGAGATTTGTGCTCTGCATGTGTTAAGAAAAAAAAAAGAGGTTTCAGAGTGCTGCTTGCCCTGTACGCAATGATTACCAGAATTGCAATAAATGAAACTCCGCTGAAAACGTGCAGAACTGCACTACACCGCAACATCGTTTCTTCTTTGAATACAGTACAATCGTAAGAGACATAACAGCCGCGCTGCTTGAGGTATATTTATCGTTTTGGCTGCTTGGCATATATTGTTGTTAATGCCAAATAATCAGCAGTTAGTAACTAATTAATTATTCGATTAATTAGTATTTCCTATTAATTGTCCAATGGCATTTTAAATCAACTGCACGAACGGTGTTACTACCTAGAACTGCAGAGGAAATTTAAACCTACATTTATTTAAGAGAAATTGAACAGATTACAGGGTCTCGATAACATAGAACTGCCGCTTATCTTTGCTTAATCTTCTTCACTTTCTCCGGCTTCAACATCCAAATGAAGAACCTGATAGCCTGAGCCTGGTGGTATCTGGATCCCGGGCTGTAAACATAAGATGCTGCCTTTAAACGTGAGAAGCGCACTGCTTGTCTAATCTATATTTACAGCCTGATAGTAATCCCACGCTTCACTACGATGGGTTGACCCAGAATGAACAAGTACTCGTTTAATTACTGTTATTCAACAGACTAACGACTGCTTTATAAAGGAACACATTCTGTAACGGGGTAGCTCAAAAGTCCCTTCTCATGTTGTGTATAAAAAAATAACAAAATCGTTTTATCCTGCTCGTTGTTGGATAGACACTCATTCTGTTTTGATAGCTACACTTATCTACACTTCATCTATAAAATACAGTTTAAAGACTTAAGTTCTGTATAGACCTGGTGGGGTTAGGGAAGTCATTGACTCTGGGGTAAGTGACTGAAGGTTCTGATATTTGCAACATATTAAACACACCTATGCCTTACTTTAAATGGAGAACAGATTTTATTTTAAGGCCACAATATAGTAAAAGGCACAGAGCAGCACTTTCCATTTTTAATGACTAGGCAGCTCTAATCAACTGGAATGTGAATGTAGTATACTCTTGGAGTGTATAAAACCCATCACTGCCTGATTTCCTGTTATGTTCTGAAGTGATGAGCAGACACGGGCATTGTGATTGTAGCACAGGGGTCTCCCTGACGGGAGATGGGTCTGTAAGGAGGGGCGTACCTCAGTTATCTGATGTATGCTTTGTTTTACCTGTTTAACTGTCCTTTGTTTCATTTTGTTACCATTTGAAGACTGGTCTTTCAAGGTTGGTAATCGATATTTTAATGTGTGATTGCATTGTTTTCTTTGTGTGTGTGGGTCCCCAATATACATAAAATGGTGAGGGGCGTATTGTCTTTACAGCATACTCTTGTTAGACGAAACAGAACAAAGGAATGGAAATTGGAGACTGACTCCTATTAAGCATTGATGCTGCATTATATACTACTGTACATAGAATATCTCATGTCCCAAAGACTCCAGTGCTTTTCCAAAACACTTTCTCAGTGACTTATCTCCTGCTGAGTGTATGTGTGCATTTGAAACCAACAGCAGTAGTTTAATCTCTACCTGGTGCCCGGTGCCACTTTAAATAACCAGACAGATTTCACAACGCAGACAGATTTCCATCAAGGTCAAACATACCACCAATGTATTGGCTTTAAGCTGGAAAATATTGTATACAAACCTTACAGAAATTATTTCAGCAGATTTGGACATACAATCTGCTGTAAAAAGGAAGGCAAATGCTTCATGTTTCCTGACCTAACTCCTACAGTGAGTGGCTTTTACTGGGTGGTAGGGACAGTTCTTTTACATAACCTCTAAAGCAGATTAATCTGCTTTTTTCCCACATGCTGTTCATATTACAAAGATTGTTCAAGGATGCTGTCCTAGAACGCTCTTTCTACAATCCTCTTAAAAGCTCCTAATACGGACTTTTGTTTCTCTGAGCATCACCCTGATCTTAGTGAGAATACAAAATCAGGCACCTGACGTTACAACTAGACGTTTCAATTGGAGACATCCCGAGGAGGTAAAATTCGAAAATAAACGTCTGTCCTCATTCTGATTCACAACACAGTCACACATATCCATTCTGTACTTCCACACAGCCTTTCCTCAGTGGTAACCACTGAAATGTGAAGGCTGAAATGATTTTTCGGCTCTCAATGAGGGGCAGTGACATTGCAAACCTATTCGAAGCCAATCACAACATTTCCCGTGAGCCACAGATTCCCTATAGCAGCTTTATACTGTGAGACATCGCCTTTAACATGCCTTAATCTTTTAGGCATCCAGAGGCCATTTTTGCCTGGAATGGATGTGCCCTTCTTAAGCAGATTAATTTGAACTGTTTGTTCCCAGCTCTTAAATATGCTGGACCTTTAACCATGGTATTTTGAAAGTGAAATAAAAACCCCAAACCTGTGACTAGAAACAAAAGGCAAATATTTCAACGAAGCAGCTTCTTAGACCAACTAAGAATTCAGTAATCTAATGAAGACGTTCAAGTAGGTGGCTGCGTCGGCATGTGTAGGCTGCAATGGAACAAGGGTGGGTTTATTCCATGCTGAAAGGAAAAGAATAGACAGATCCTTTCGGCTGGGGAGCTCCTTCGGGCCGAAACATTGTGTCTTTTCTTTTCAGCATGGAATAAACCTTCACTTGTTCCTTTATCTAATGAAGGTGGGATGGTCCAGCAGGGGTGGGGGTCACCAAGATCAGGATTGGGATTGGGACTATCAGGATTGGGAACCACTTTGTTGAGATTGGTGAATTCCTCATAAAGGTGAACCGTGTAGCATGACAATGTGAAAGGAGAATGGTGAGGGATGGATAGGAGAAACCTTGTTTTCTGTCCTGCTCTATGGGCAGTAGCAGCGCAGGCGTGAATAAGGGAGGGGAGGTTGCACAGTCTTTAAGCCAGAGTTGTGGAATGTGTTGTCTACATGGGGGCTGAATCCCTCCTTTTCTACTGCTGTGGTTTGGAAATTCTCTTCTTTTGTTTGTTCAGTAAAGGTTGCTTGTTTATCTTTCTTTATCTTTATTCTTTATTTCTTTATTAGCCCTGTACAATTTCTTGCATTAGGAATTTGTCTTCTCGCATACCCCAGCTTTCTCCGTGGAGACACAGACACACAGACAGGGAGAGAAGCTGGGGGTCATAGCGCAGGGTCTGCCATTGTACGGCGCCCCTGGAGCAGTTAGGGTTAAGGGCCTTGCTCAGGGGCCCAACGGAGTAGGATTCCTCTGCCGGCCGCGGGATTTGAACTGGCAGCCTCCCAGTCACAGGAGCAGATCCTGAGCCACACTCCACCCCAAATTCTTAGCCTAGTTAACGTAACCGGTTTCTAGTCCCACAAGAGCGAGATTCGGGAGGAGTGGGTTTCTGTGCAGACTACAGCACTGAGACGCTGCCTGGAGGCTTTTCAGTGTTTCGGTTAATTGTGGGGCAGAGTAGGATTCTCACAAAACTGCATTCTCAGTCCTGAAATTTAGCACCACTTCAGACTTAGTAATTCGCTAGTGTGGCAAGTATAAATATTTATTAAACACCCCGGATGAAAAATCGATACAGTTTATTAGGTGCTGTAGGGCATAGTGGCTTAATGTATTTATAATATTTATATAATACACTGAGCATATTTATTGATGCAATATCCCAAATAGTGAATTGCAGTTGGTGGGTGCTCCACACGTTTCTTGGGTGGATGTGTTGTGTTGGGTGTTGCACGGATTTGGGGGTGTATAGGGAAGGGAGAGGAGGCAGGAGTTAGATGGGATTTACTGATTCCACATCTTGGGAACAATGCATAATGCATAAGGACTGTGTTTAAAGGCACTGGCCATTTACAGTCTTCCCCGATTGCCTCTAACCCCAATCTGCCTGCGCAGGGGGGACAGTATGTGTGCGAATCACACGCTTGTATTAAGAAACCTCCTGTTACAGATGTGTTATATTTGGAAATGCCAGAGTTAATCTCTTTTAATCTGTCTTGGAAAGGCAGGGCCTGATTGTTGACAATAAAGAACTCCATTGTGGTAAGGTAGTGGAAATGGGCATTGAAATGTAGCGCAACCGGGAATTCACTTTCTTTTCCTGTATTCCCATTAATTTCTGCTCGGAAACCCTGACGGAAATTATCAGTACAAAAACCAGAACACAAAAATTCTCCAGGTCACGTGCGCTTTGCTCATTAGGCTACTTCACATGCAGGGTTTTACATCAGGCTACACTCCCTTGGTTCACAAGCCTTAAAGGAAGATAGGAAAAGAAGTCAACTGAAATGAAGAAATGAAACCGTTGGGTCATTGTTCTATATATATATGAAAGCAGGCTGTTTCTGCTAAAGTACGTCTAGTATTTGTGAAGTTCAATTAAGGTTGAAGGGTTTTAATTCCTCGGCTTTCCTGTCATAATTAAACCGTCATTGTGTTGGATGAAACTGTGATGGTCTATTACCTTGTTCTTGAATATTTACTGTGCTCTGTCTTTGAGACACTAAGTTGTAGAGCAACTTAGTGTCTGGAAGCATTAAGCGATTTCCCCTGCCATCCAATCTTAATTAAATGTGTAGTTAAATTAAATCTGTAGTTTGACCACTTTGACAACATAGGTTATTAAATGTGAATCTAAGCTCGTATGGTCAATTTATTTATGCTTTAGGTCTGTGTGGTTGTTCCTTGAAGTTATGCATAATGCAGTTTTAATGTATAATGTAAGTGACCCTGAATAATAATAATGATAATAATAATAATAATAATAATAATAATAATAATAATAATAATAATAATAATAATAATAAAGAATCAGATCTCACCTCTTTTCTGTTTGGACATATAGAACTTTCCACTCCTGATATGTGATCTATTATCACAGTTGTGTTTAGCTGAAGCAGTTATGTTTCATGAGAGATAATCTTTTTGTATCATATTTCTGTACCAAGCAGCAGCAGACCTCTTGCATACATAATTTAATCCCCTGCCCTCGACTTACTGTTAGCAAATTGATTAGTGTGGTGTTGAGTTGCTGTACCCATTCACTGGCAGCACAGAACCAGGGCATTCTTTGTGTTGTGCTTTATTGCATTAATATACTCCTATAAAACCTTTTCTATTGAACCTGCCATCTGAAACACCCAGAGTGTTCAAGCGCTGTGTATAGTTTCAGTGTGCTTGCTTTCGGTTCTTTGGTTTCTGTCCTCTCATATTGTAACGTTTAGTGATCCTCAACACATATTTCCTCCACTTAATCCTCAAAAACACATTAAATAACTTTGGGGTTTCTAGGACAAAAAGATATGATCTATATATGAATGCTTCTTAGAATATAGGGATTTGAATATTGATGTTAATTCCAGTAAAGCACAAGTTAAAAGTTTGCACAGACTCACACATAGGGCCCATTTTCCCAGGAGCCAGTCAACCAACCAGCATGTCTTTGGACTGGAGGAGGAAACCCACATGAACACCTAAAGAATTAACTCCACACAGACAGCACTCCAGGTGTGGATTTGAACCCGGGCACCAGTGCTGTGAGGTGGCAGTGCTAGCCATTGTGCAACCATGCCACTCTGTGCTGTCTGCCATCCCACTAATTAATAATTAGGGCTTCTTGTTTTCGGTTTTAACCAATAAACACCATCAGGTTAAATCAAATAGGCCTCATCTAAAGTATGGCGTTTATCTTAGAAAAACAACACATACCCTATGAATTTTAGAATATTGTAGACCTGGAAATTGTGGTGTTTGTCGTGTGTTCCATTGTTTGTACAGTATTTGATGATTGGAGATCTACAGTTTTAAAAAAGTGACAATTGGAGAGCAGAGAGAGAGACTGTGAGTAAAATACATACAGTATATATACAGTTGTTTTTATATGAAATGTTTCCAAATTTAAGAAATAAAATGCTTTGCTCAAATCTAACATCTTAATCAACACTGCGATCCTCACAATACTAATTGTAAACATGAAAACTGCTCTGTTGCTCAGAGAGCCCAGAAGACTGAGCCCATGATGGCTATTCTGGGGGGAAACAAGGCAAGATACTGCTGGGTTCCCATGTAGTCTGGGCAAAATGAACTATCTGCCAGAGTTATAGATTTGCCTGCTGTTCAACTGTTACACAAAACTTTAACATATCTTTTATATATGCTTCAATATTCCTGAATTCCTAAACTTTTGAGTGTATATGAATATTTGTGTAAAAAGTTGGGAAAATGTTTAATAGTTATTAAAAATATTTTAATGATTATTTAATTTATTAAAAACAAAACTCTTATTTTAAAGGGCAGCAAAAGGTAATATTGTCTCCATTTCTCAATAAAGGCATTGCATTCAATCCAGGCACAATAATTAATCGATTATGCTTCTGGGCGACCAGTTCTGTCGTGGCAAAGCACGATTATGTTCCTTTGCATCGAAAATACTCCACCACAGTCTGCAACTCCCAGCCATGGGTTTGACACCTCCAGGCTCGGCAGTGTGATGTTTCAGCACCAGAGCCTGATGAGAGAATACAATGCAGTTACGAAAGCTCTCGGGGGGGAAAAAGGCCTTATTATGTATGAAGAGAACAGAAAAAAGGGAGTTGAGATAATAAGATCATTCAGGAAAAATCACTGTTTGGTTCCAGCGGGTGGGGGTGGGGGATCGAACTTTCTGTAACTGGAGATGCCCTGTGTGTGGATAACAATACACAGCAGGCTGCAGTCAGGGAGCTGTAGCACTGTGCAGAAGTAGTGCCCTGGCAGAATTCACGCCCCCTGCCTCAGTGTACAGCTGGACATTCATACTGTACAGCTGGAGTGAGCACAAGCAGCTAGAGATTACAGCTATCGTAACACCTTAACCTGGATTTCTTTTAAAAAGAACAATATTAATCACACTATCCATTGATCTCGATGAAGCTTTTATCCAAAGAAACATGCATTTCTTACTCTAAACAGACACAAAATTCCAGATCAGTCTCCATCAAATGAAGAGCCACAGCTTATATACAATGGGTCAGTTCACTGAAAAAATCTGTGTGAAGTTCCTTGCTCGAGGGCATTTGGGTGCTCTGAGCACTACGAAGGGATCTGAACCTGCAACCTGCCAGTCAGGAGCCATGTGGCTCCACACTGCTGCAAAACAATTTCTTGATTAGTGCGATCGTTTGTATTTTAAAAGTTAAAACTAGCAAGCTATCCAATAAGAACTTAAGATAGGTTACAAACAGGATGTAACCTTCAACACATCCAGCTCATCTGGATTATTTCTTGGTATTCTTGCTGGGGTCATTGAAAAGTGAAAAGGAGGGGTTTTGCATTCTGAGTTTGCAGATAATGGATGCAAATTGTAAATGAATGTTGTTTTCTTAGGAAGCTTCCCTCCTGGTACTGGATTGTCTTGCATTCTGATTGAAGGATTACAGTACGATTTAATAATGACCCATTAATGGAGAAAGCTCCTGCAGTTCATTAAAAGACGACTTAGAAGAAAAGAGGATGGCTGTACCCTGCACTGAAGAGAAGTAATTATGTGGCCCAGTGCCTTAAAATGTGGCACAGGGGATTTTGTAAATGGGCCAGATTGCACAAGTGTGCCCCAAAATTGGCCCTGAAAAATACATGAGGCAGCATGACCCTGACAAACCTGTCAGGCTTTCCTCAGGGTTGAATTATTGATGAGCGGAATAGGGATGATTGTAAAGAGTCAGAAGGTGAAGACAATTCCCCTCCAGCAGCCATTGAGTAGTGACACCTTGTGCCCTTGTCTGTACTTCTAAAATTTAATCTGTTCTTTTTTATTCAAATACTACCTTCATGAAACTTCAACTTTTTTATTTCTGATCTAAAAATAATGTTCACTTAAATTCTTCACATGCAGCAGTTTCATGCACCTTAGAGAGACAGCGTTATTTTTTAAGAATACATATTTCGTTTCTTTCTTGTTTGTACATCAAAAAAAGATTGAACATTCTGTATTCCTTCTTATCTGCTGCACCCTTCAATTTTAGTTTCTTTCCTTTCTAAAACTGTGTTTGTGCTTCTCTTTTCTCTTCAGACTGCCTGGGCTCTACAGTATTTTCACCAATCAAAGCTGACGTTAGTGGAAACATAACAGTAAGTACTCACTCCCTCCAGAACCGGAACGCCCTGGCTGAGAAGAAATTGCAGTTTCATTCTTGTCCATTTGTTTTTTAGAAAATCAAGGCAGTGTACGATACAAACCCCACCAGGTTCAAGACCCTGCAGCACATCCTGGAGGCTGAAAAGGAGATGCATGGAGCAGAGTGGCCTAAAGTTGGCGCTACTCTAGCTCTCATGTGGCTGAAAAGGTGAGATTTGAAGCGACTGATGGAAGAGGCTCTCACACCTTGCCTTTAGGTACTATGACAGTACTGAGGTTCTGTTCTCCTCCAGGGCTCTCAAGTTCATTCAGGTCCTGCTGCAGAGCATTGCAGATGGAGAGAGGGACGACACCAACCCCAATCTCATCCGGGTCAACGCCACCAAAGCCTACGAGATGGCTCTGAAAAGATACCATGGCTGGCTGGTTCAGAAGCTGTTCAAGGTGAGCGCCGCACGTTTGTAGGGTTGTGGGGGGGTGGGGGGTGAGGACACCATAGTTACCAAATACATAATGTAGTTGTTTTTTACAATGAGATGAAAAAAATGGGATGGTTGTTTCTTTTAAGTTATTTAATTTGTAGCTGGATTATAGACCATAAGGCTTAGGACAGGGGTCTTGCACTCAATCCCTGCAGAGCCCAGTGTCTTCAGGTTTTTGTTCCACCCACTTTCTCAGTGCATGATTGGTCTAGTTACTTCATGAGCTGCTCAGCAAGCTCTTAGGTGATTTACAGGGCACTGTACCTTTAATGAAGTGACAGATTTGTGTAATCAGCTCCGATAAACTTCTATAAAATCCTATACTGTACATGTGGTATTTAGAAAATAATTAGGTTAATTGGTTAGTTGATTGATGAGGTTGGAACAAAATGCAGAAGATACCAGACCTTCCAGGGAACTGGGTTTGAGCTTCCTGCTTTAGAAAGAAACACAGTGCAGTTGGTCATTGTTATTATCATTGTTGCGTCACACTGGTGTGTTGTTGGCAGTTCTGTCCTTATTGGTCATGATGTGGGATAAAAGATGAAGAGCTGCAGAAAGAATGTGGATGACTGGGATTGTGGATCTTTCATTGCAGGCAGCTGTGTACGCTGCTCCCTACAAGTCTGACTTCCTGAAGGCCCTGTCGAAAGGTCGCGATGTCAAGGAGGAGGAGTGTCTGGAGAAGATCCGCCAGTTCCTTGTGAATTTCACGGCTACAGTGGATGCCATTTATGAGATGTATAGCAAAATGAACGCCGAGCTGGACTACACGGTCTGACCTCACCCTTGCCAGACTGAAACACACACACACCCGTCCTTTACTCCTGTACATCTTGCCTCCATTTTCAAGAGCATTAGGGTCACCTCCTGAGCTCAGAGACCTGGTCCTCCTTCCTTCTCTACCACATTGGCGGGGAGCATCTGAAGACTCGCTGATTTCACCTGTGGACTTGAGAGGCTCACTGTCATTTACTCTGGTGCCTTCACACCTCTCAGCTCACCTCTTTTATGCATTCTGCACCTCGAAGGCTCATAATAGGCAGCCCTAGGTCATACAGGCAATTGTGTGGGAGGGAAGATGGTGTTGTAACTAATGCAGTATGGTGTGCCTTACGTTTTAACTTGTCTAGCAGGGATAATACTGAAATGTGAATGTAATAAATGCACTTTTTAGCTGGTTCTGTTTGATCACATAGATAACACCGTACAGTTGTTTTAAAATGTACCACTGAGGCGTTTGATCGCCTTAAGCATTACACAGTCTAACGATGCTTATTAAGACTGTCTTCAGTGCCTGTTCGGAACTCTCTGAAATTAACATCATCAGCCTTCCATAGTCATGTAAGCTTTTGGAATTCCTAGCGAGGGAAGTCTTAATACAGTAATTTCCCTTGCAGTAGGAAGTAATGCAAACATGGTTAAACTAGTTTGTAGCATGGTAATTGATGGTGGAGATTGAAGAGATGACGTGACCTTAGGTTGACAAGCCTATCCAGGGATTTACTGTCTCCACAGAAAATTGGAAAATGATGAGTGTGGGTAGAAAGAAAATGCCGAAATCATGCAACATCTGGCCTTGGCCGAAATCATGCAACATCTGGCCTTAACCACAGGCTGCATTGAAATCTGAAACCCAGACCCATTGCTTCCAAGTATCTTGAGGTTGTTGTTGCATATGCACATTGCAGTAATTGAAACCCTGGATGTTTTGCCAGTAATGCATATATCACCATTACACACGTGTCGTTTCAAAGGGTTTGTGGGTTTTCCTGCTAAAAACAGGAGCTGCTTCTTTAAACAAAGAGTTGTTGAAGTATGGAATAAGCAGGGTTCCAGCATCCAGCCATGTAGAGAGGCTAATACCCGGGCTTCTTTCAAGAAAACACTGAATGAGCTGCCTGGATCAGTTAGATACTAAAAGCCAAATGGCCCTGAGCCTTTTGTGAACATTCTTATGGGAGCTGAATGAAATATTTACAGACCTGTCTTTGCTCTTCCATAGCTTCCACCTCATCTGGCCAAGAGCTTTCATCATGAATGTAATGGTTCATGGACTGAGCTCAGAGGAATAGCAAATGAAGTTTCAAAGTGGAGTACAAGAAAGTCTGTGACTTACTCTTTCACCTTGGAAAGACATTCCCAAAAATGAAACACAAGGGGTCAGTGAGAGGAAATGAGCTGGAAAAACATTTTTTTGTTTGTGATCTGCTGGACCTGTAGGATGCGATATGCATAGATCTGAAACTACAGATGCATGGCAGTGTTAGGAAAGAGGGGGTTTTTGGAATGGGAAAGGGGGAAATGCTGTTGAACAAAGTAACGGAAAGGTCATCAGTTCAGGACCTGTTTGATTCTTTCAGGCTGGAGGGTTTAAATACTTTTCATTTCTAAAAATTGCATTGTTGGCAATACATTCTTGGGGTATTTCTCTCTCACACTTAATCAAATGGTTTGTAAACCTTAACTAGTACTGTAATCTCTTCCAGCATCTTGTGAGACTTTAATTTCATATAGGTTAAGAATAATTTTAAAATGGCAAACTCCACAGGCTTTATCTAATGCCCTGCTCAGAGCTTGTCAGTATTTTATTGAATTGCAATTAAGTCTGGAAGCGCCTTTTTCTACATATATCAAAGTGACTCAGCAAAAGAGAACGTGTCCTTCACTGCTCATACCACAGAAGAAGCTTTAATACCATGGTGCATTATTAGGATCTCTTCAGTTTGTTTTTTCTATGTCAAGTTTTGTGCTCTATGTACCCATCTCCTGTACATGGATCACAGAATTACCATGAGAATATGTATAAAGTTTAAGGCAAAAGCACACTTACCATAAATGCCTTAATGAGGTGGCTGATGTTGCATAGTCCAACCTTACATCCAAATATGGGACGGCTGAAAAGACAGTAAAAATTAAATTTTCTGTTTAATAATAAGAACCCTTTTCCTTACCCTTTTACTAAATTAATACAAGTTGTATCGTAGCGTTTAATTAACCCAGTGAGCTTTGGGCACTTGCTGCTTTTTCCTTTCTGTTACCTGTTACATAGTTGTATTTATTTACACAGCTTTGGATCAGTTTCTGCCAAGATCATTTTGTGTTCAACGAACAGCTCTAGAAAGAAGAGTTTCTGATGGGGAGCCACAAAGCTGGACCGGCTGGGTTTACAGGGTAGATAAACTAGCACTTTGTCTGCGTGCTCCCAATTTTTTTCACCCTGCTTTTCTAGATTTGGCTCTATTTTACAGAAGCCCTTTTTCCAAGACCCTTGGTCAAGAAGGAGATTGCACATTACAGGAAGCACAACAATGAGATTTAAATATATACATATAAAGTACTTTAACCCTGGAACAGGAATAATATTTGTTTTTACCTTCGGACAATACTGGAAATAGGATTGTGGTTGTGAGGCAAGTGGCTGTATTGTTTTCTTTTCATTATCTTTCCATCTGTCTTAGTCATTTCACGGATGCCTGCAGGGGATTTAAAAGCAATACTTGGAATGGAGTGTTTCAGTTACATGCACATATGTTTTTCTTTTTTATGTCCTACAAGCCTTTTATTTTTTAATGTTGTAGCTATTGAGATGAGTTTGCTCATCACCAGCACACCTGTAAAAGCAGGTTCATTAGCATAGAATGGGTGTGTAACAGTAACAGACCACATTGTTTGCTCTTGACCACCTAATTGCACTAAAGAAGACCATTAAATTTGCTGTATATATTTTTATTTAACAGAAGTGGTTATGTTTGAAATTGGAGAGATGGTCTACACGTCTTGATAAATTGATAAACTGTATTTCTGTTGAGTCATGCAAAACCAGTTAAGATGTCTAGATGTAGTACATAATTAAACGTTTCTGGTTTTATTACAGATGTATGAGTGCTTGACATTCTTACAGAGATGGATGTGACTAAACAGAAAATCACAAGTACAGTATATTGGTATTCCAGTCTGACATTCTAATATTTTTTGAAAATAAAATGAATCGGCAAACTATTAAAATGGTGTTGCATTTTTATTCTACTTTTTAGATGTTCGAGTTTCAGTTTTAACATAATAAATTAAGCATGGTCTAACATGTATTTATTTTTTTCTTGACGTATTCCGTGTATTGAATTGAGATAACCTCAAATGAAATAATATTGCAGTGCATCTTTATAGTTGTAAATACGGTACAAGCAGATGTAATATATAAAAAATGAACCACTATATATATATGGAAGAATGCCGTGTAACAAAAAATAACCACCGTGCAAAAAATATATTGAATATGGCAAAAACGTCGTGCCATTTTGTCGCATCAAATATATAGGTCTGGATTAATCCAGGCAGATGGCATGTAACATTATATTATAACGGGACAATTAAAGATTAATTCCATGCTGAACAGTTTTCAGCCTTTACCTTTTCCTGTGTAGCCTACACATGCTGGCGCAGTCCCCTTCTCGCAAGTCTTCAGTTGGATTATAACGTCGCTCTGTGCTTCGGTCCGGGAATGTTTATAGGTTTTCTGTTTCCCTTAAAAAGAACAGCGCCTGAAAACCTACCTAGGAGAAGTTCATAAAGTAGTCCACTTAAGCCGGTGAATAAGTTCATTTACCTCATTAAGACAGCTGAGTTGTAATTTGCAAACGCCCACGGTCCTCCTAGAAGCGCAGTCAGAGCACACTGGAATGACCATCCAGTGACCTCAGGGAAAGGCCGTGCTGGTCCGGTTACCCTACTTGCTGGGTTTTATTTCACCTCTGATCATTATTAATTGAACTAAAACTTTGGTTTCAGGTCCTGATCGTAAAGAAAGATCCGAACCTGTTGTTAATTCAAAGACACCTGTGGGATCTGCAGGATCCTTCTGGCACTCACCGACAAAAGTTCGCTTTTCCCTGCCTGCGTTTTCTAAATCAAGTCTCTTGCTCGATTTTCTCGGCATGTAGTTTCCTCTGCGCCCTATGTAGTACAGAGTAGCACGTACAATCATGGTAAATTTGAATCGAGCGACCTGTCACAGGTAAGAGAGTTTCCTGTAGCGTAATTTAAAATAGATTTTAAAGGGCAAATGTTTCGGGCATTACTGACATACAGCCACTAGAGGGAGCCTTCAGCTCACAGGAAAACGCAAAGGGTGACACTCGCAGGATGATTCTGCGTCTTTATGGATTGGGAAGCCAGGTGCTGAAAAAACGTCTGACACCGATGTTTAAGTTAAAGGAAATACAGTGCTTGGGCAAATCCCGAATGTATTGAATGTCACATAGTTGAGATAAGGTCCCATGCTTTGAAAAAAACTCTAAAATGAAAAATATTAGTGGTATGGTTCTGCAGTTTTCATTTCACCCACACAGGTTAATGTTGTACTGTATTGCAATAGCATTTTTGCGAAGTGTTATTTTTGATGAGGCATATATTATATGATCTGCGTTAGCCCGTTGGTTAATTTTTTTTTAAATAGCGGTTTCATAAATCACGTGAACGTGAACATATTTACACTTCAAATGTGTTCAAGCAATCTGACACTTGCTAGACTCCGCAAATAAAAAAAAATCTTGATACCACGGAGCCAGGAACACATTTTAAAATATTTCTAACACTCCGATTATGTTGCTTAATATTTTCCAATACGTTTTCATACACACAATATCGTTCTCATGAAATCTTTACACGATTCGTTAATACATTGTCTTTAAAATGTTAAAACTAGGAACGTTTAGGACATAAACAGCTTTAAACTGTCGCTGCCGCTTTTCTGGCAAATTAAACGTCAGGTTTCTCGTTCGTTTGTTTTTTTTTAATGTTGGGGTACATTGTAACTTTAAGCGTGAAATATGCAGGCGGACACAGATGCCTGCTGTTCATTCATGGAGACTCGGCGAGAGCCTCAGGAAACCGGGAGGGACTGAAGGGGTGGGTAGCTCAATCGTCACCGAGAGAGAGAAAAAAAGTGAAGTTTCGGAATAAAGAGGGAACAGTCTACCTTTGAAACAACTAATTTTTAAAAGTCGGATTCTAGCGCACCTTATAGAACAGATAGTTTTCTCAGTTTCAACTAAAGTGTAAACGTTTGAAAAGAAGAGTTATCTTGTAACCACCCGTTACAGTATAAAGGATTCATTCACGGCAATCAGGTGAGGCTCTATGATTTATTACGTGGCTATAGTAAGGAGAACATTCCTAGCTTTTCAGTGAGACATTCTTAGTAATAATCCGTTGGTCTCTTCCTCGTTTTATTCTAGTTTTTGCTTTGGGGAAAGTCATACTGTAACCTAGAAGGTGTGAATTTCGGACGAATTTAAAAGGGTTTTGGATATGAGCTTGTCTTGCATGCGACATTTTATCTTCAGCCGTGAATGGAAAAATGCCCTGTACCTGTACTGTGCCGATAATGCACTGATCTGTCGTAATCAACTCCGCAACTGTTGGGATTGCGTTTGGTGCTTGTTCCGTGTGTGTAAGGCTGCATTTCTCTTGACTTATCATAGACCAGTTTTACACGCAATAGACCTAGACCACCTCACCTTCCAGACCATGCCCTCGATGTCTGGTTGATTCGTCTGTGTTGTCATGAATGAATGTTTCTCGGACAGACAGAACGGAGTTGCTGCGCTTTCCCGAATCGAGATGTATATTAACTAGCTTTTTGAAAACTGAGTGTTGGGCTTTGTCTCTGTTGCGTTGGTGGTTCTTCAAGTCCTCAAGGGAACAATCCACCAGGTACTTAGATCTCCCTAAATTCTGAACAACACAAAAGCTCGGGAAGAGGGTTCAATGAGGTCACTTAATGGAAACTGTATTGTTTAGACTCATCTTAAACCTTCACTGAACGATATTTGTTAACTCTGGTCTGTCACTGGGATGTGGAAAACCTAGTGTGTTAGTACGTTTTAAGAGGTCTCAAGTCATGGAGATGTGGTCTGTAAGTACTCACTGCCTGGTATTCAGTTTCCAACTAAGAGGATCAAAGTTTCATAAAAGCAATGAAAAAAGATGCAATAATACAGTAAAGTCAATGAAACTGGATTTCTGACTAGGAGGGCTCCAGGTCTAAAGATGAGACACGAATAGATGCTGTGCTGAATGATGCACATTGCATAAAAAAAAAACAATTAAGTCTCAAGACTGGAAGGAAGGGAATGTGCCTTCAGAAAAAAAATCAGTTAATTACAATGTTTTTCAAACCTGTACTCTCCACTGTTCTACATACTGAAAACACACTAAAACTAGTGCTGTGTCGAACAGCCTGTCATTCGTAAACCTCCTTATGTTCTTCATCCAACATGAATTAAAAAACTCTGCCTTGCTGGTGGTTTAATAATCTGTCATCCCTTCATATCTGTTTTTTGCCCCCACTCCAGTCTCAGTCTGCCTTGCAAAACACAAACCGCCAAGAAACCGCTGCAGTATTCAAATTCTCTCGCTTCCTTCTTTTGGTCATGGTAGCGACTCTCAAGATCTCCTTCTTGAGAATTTTAGCACAGTTACTTTAATACCTCTGCTCTCAAGTCCGAGAACTGCTAAAAAAACACATCACCACGGCTCCAGCAGTGTTCAGACTGAACTGTTATTTGGGGAACAGAGTTCACCCACAAAGACCCGGTCTCATTTGCACAACTTTGGAAATGTTCATTTACTGAGAGTGTTGTGAAACAGGGGGAAGTGGGATTTTAGACAGTGCCTGTTAAAGACTGGACTGAGACAGGTATGCAGAGGTGAATTATAGATGCAGTGCTCTAATCTGCAAAGCACATATTATCCCCAGAGAGCTACACGTCTGCTCCTAGGAAACTGTGGTCAAGTAAATCACTCAGATAATTGAGGATGGGAGTGATGTTCCTGCACAGGAGAGGAGAGCAGTGACTTTCCAGCTGTAAAAATGGCGACTCACTCTATCAAAACCTTTTAGTACCCCTTCTCAGTGGTCTTTCAGTTCCAGGGGCGGTGCAGTGGCTCTGTGGCTAAGGATCTGCGCCTGTGGCTGGAAGGTTGCAGGTTTGTATCCCACAGCCGGCAGCTGTCTGTGTGCGAAAAGACAAATTCCAAATACAAGAAATTGTAAATGGCCGATAAAGTGATCTCATCTTAGTTGCAAAATAGTGTGGGCATTCACAAGGTGGTCTTATGTCACTAATAGATATGAGAGTAGATATGAACACAGCTCTGCTTAATCAAAATGCTGTATGTGTGATACCTGTGGGAGGATTCACACAGCTGTTGTTTTGATAGCTTAACAAATGATCCTTTTTTTTTCTTTCCCCCTGTGTCCAGTGCCTAGCAGAGTATGCAGATTCCATAGACACGGCATCCAGATGAGTTCTTCTGTTCCCCTGGCTAGTTACCTGTGCTGATGGCAGCACTGTTTCCCACTTCAGTGCTCTCTGGTTAAATGAAGCTGCCCAAACCACTGGCCCTCCAGAAAAAAAACAGCACAATGCAGGCTACATGCTGAATGCTTCTGGCCACAGAGTACTGCACACTAATTTAGTGATTTTTCTAAAACACTTTTCTAATGGAGTCCCTTCTGTCCCTTCTATTGCTAGAGAAATAACTGCCGTGCACAGTTTAAACACATTTTGTTTCTCAGTAAGAAAACCAAGCAATAGACAAGTTTAGAACCATTTACTGTATGTTTAAGTTTATATGTTTCTTAGCATAAGAGGAGTTTAGACGAAAGTTCGGGAACAGCCACGTTCCATCAGCCTCAGCCATCAGTAATTTGTAATCGGCCAGCAGGATACGAACCGGCAACCTTCCAGCCACAGGCGCAGATCCTTAGCCAGAGAGCCACCACACCGCCTCGGTCACTCTTACTCCAGATGCCAGCTCATCCTGTGGGCAGGAGGTTAGCCCTTAGCCGAGCAGGTTAAGCCAAATTGTATTGACTAAAACACTACAAGCTTTTAAGTATGCTTGATTCTTGGGCACTGTTATTCCTAGTGAAGCGCTTTTTAAAAAAAATATTAAGTGGTAGAAACAGTCCTCAGTTAAATCTCTTAAAAAATCTTGACTGGAGTTTTAGGATACGACATGAATGAAGACGTCATGTCAGTGTACAAGCTCAGTGTGGTACCAATGTGAGAAACGGGTAGAAAAGGGTTTATCCATGAAAATATTAGAGAAACATAAACTGTTCTAGTTAGGTTAGTGCAACATATTTACACCCATTTCTGTCTTTAAATACTCTAGCTTTTCTCCATTCCACGTCTTGGAGAATAATGCATAGAGCACATAAAATTAAACTTATTTTACTAAGTTTAAAAAATAGATTTAAAGGTGGTACACAACAGTCCCTAAAGTGAGCTGGCTGTGCAGTTTTTTATTTTATTTTACCTAAATTGTCACTTTTGGAAAACAAATGTTTTTCTGAGTAGGAGAAGAATTATAGGAGTATATGGTAGAATTGTATTTATTTAATTTATTGAAAGATCAGTTTTTAGGAGAGACATAGTAAGCACAATGTATTTTTTAAAACGTTAAAACATTTTTTTATATATACTGTTCTTACATCTAATTATATGTTTCATTGGTATAAATGATAAAGCAGTGGTATTGGATTGATGTCATGTTAGATTTTAACATTAATGTCCCTTTAAATATAGAAGTTAGTCACAAAGAATGTAAGATTGTGGGCTAAAATTCAAAAAGGAAGCAGCCCTTTCCTCATCATTTGTTTTTGTTTCTTTTAGGTTTCTGCACAATCTAACTGACCTAATACAAATCTTAAAAAAATAATATTTTTTAAATTGAATATAGAAACAGTGAAGCTGCTGTCTATGGTCCTATTAATGATTTCTTTTTTACAACTTACCATGGACAGTGTTGGCTTTTGTGCAGTTTTTCTCTGATGCAAAGACATTACTTAGGGGTTTACTTTGGTTCTTAAAGAATAATATTGTACTGGAAATACTTTTTCTACACATTTCTTCCTAATGTACATGGTGAAATCCAGGGTTCTTCATGTTAACGATGAGGTAATACACTGCCAGTTGCCATGATCCTATCAGTGTCTATTGAATCGGGAATCAGTATCTATTGATTCCTCTCAAGGCAAAGCAGTGCAACAGCACGTCTACATTACTTCTCTGTATCTGCACTCGCTGTGTTTCTTTTTTTTCGTCTTTGCAAAGCAGTTACATTGTTCCTCCAAAATGACTGTTCTGACTCTATCGTAATTGTATTAATTTAGTTCATTACATCGTACTCATATGTAGTACAACTCACTGTTGTTTGCTTTGTGCTTTCATTTAATGTAAAACTTCGCTCGTGATTTGTGACTCAGATTAAGCTTATCCTTCAGGCAAATAATAATAATAATAAAAAAGGTTATTCTGGTGAGTAATTTAAAAATTCTGGAGCAAAGGTCTCTTTGGAAACAATTTAAAGTACCTAAAATCCAATAAAATAAGAGCTAAAGGTTTTCGGAATTAAAAAATAAACAGCTAAGCACTGTTAAATGTACTGTATATGCAGAGGAAGAGACAAGCTTTTGGAGAACAATGGGCAGCAATGATAGTGGATTCGATATGGATACGCCTACATCACAGTGTTTTACTTAGCCTTCTTTGGTAATTGGTACAGAATGTTGTCAGAGGTCTAGGTCAAATAATGATGTTAGTTCAGGGGCCTCAACTGGAGCAACTCCAGTTAAATAAGTTTAGTGGCGTTTTTTTACAAAGACACTTAATACATAGAAGTCCGTAGCCTTTCTGAAGGAAAGAGAGACCCGGTTCAGTATCTACGGGCTTGAGGGCTGAAGGGGTGATAGACAGTCAGAGCCAGGGTAAAATGTGAGCCACCTCTTCCTCAGGGTGTGGGTAGGGCTGAGTTGCCATGGTGACAGTGGCAGCATGCACACAATCTGCGCTTGAATCACAGAAACGCTGAAATGCTCTGTACACACTCATTACGTATCGCTGAGAAACCAAGTGAAGTGCACTTCCCATTGGATTTTTAAGTCTGATGCAAAAGAAAATAAATTGTCATTGTTGAGGACACAAGTTCTATATTTGCTAGCGGTGGGACGTATACTGTATGATGGAAGAATTTCTAGAGTGATTTTATGTGATGTTTTAAGTCTGATTGTTTAGGTTGAGCAGACATTGTTACAAGTTAATTTTTTAAAAGGTATCCAGATGTCCCATTCAAACAAAAATGTAGAGACACTTCTAGGAAACATTTACACTGAAAAAAACACTCCCATTTCCTGTTATATACTGTATGTTGTTTCAAGTTTTCAAATATCAAAAGTTAAATCTGTGATTATCTCCACAAGGCTTGCAATGCAAATATTATTGTTGGTAGATGGGTCCTGATCATCCCAGCCTGACTCCCTGGCTCTTGATTTGATCCAGAGCTCTTTCTAGAGGAGATTATCAGTAGAAAACAGGGAACTGATATACTGATGGCGCAGTGCAATATATCAGGCAGGACAAAAGGGAGCTGCTCAGTGTCACTGTAACTCCCTCTGAGGAAGCATGTAGGAGACACAAATAGTTTGTATAATAGCTCATAATTAATTTTGGTTTTTCCCTTTGAACTTTAGAAGACCTTTCACTTTTTCGAAAAGGCTTTCTTATGAATAAAAAGGCCTAGTTCATTTCTGATGCACTCATCATGGAGGTTATAACAACTCTGGGAGAGTTGGACTGGGAGAAAAAAATAAGCAGAAACCACAGCTTCCAGTCCAGCATCTTCCCCTCAGATTGACGGTGTCCCACTTGTCTCAGCACCTGTAAGAAGGCGGGGCACTGGGAATCCTCTCCAGCAAGCGGAATTAGAAAAGATAGAGAGTGATACAAACACCAGTCAGCTGTAACAGACGCGGTCTGGCTGTGCCACATTCTTCAATAAGGCACCTTGCTTGGCTTTGGCTTCATGTCAAACCATTTTCATCATGTTATTCCATTTTATACCACCGGTTTAAGTGGAAGGTAAAGGCTTTCAGGCTTTTTTGCCTCAGCGTGCAACCTGATCCTGGCCGTGACCTTTTCCACTGCAACAGCACTGTTGCCCTGTGTGCCCTATTTTGTCTCTTTTTCAAGTGAAACAAAAGGTTAATGGTATTTAATACAAATTCTTTCTCTTCCGCTGCATTTTAAAAGTCCTCTTCAGAAAAGGTTGCATGCCCCTTCAGACAGTCCCCCTGCTAGAAGTCTCCCCCCACAGCAAGCCTATAATTTAGGATAACGCCGCCCTCTCCCACAACAGAGCAGAACAATCACCTGGCATTTCCTGCACACAGGCGCCCTGAGAGGAGCAAGACATTTTCGAAAATGACACAGTTTGATACTGCTGGAGGATTTGCCGGGCAAATTACAGGCTGGCTGTCTCCCTGTGCTGCACAAATGGGTGGGCTGCCACACCACAGCTCTGTCCACAAGGGTGCTACCTAGCCCTGTGCTCCTGGCAGCATGCGGATTCTTGGAATGAGAGTGGCGGCAGGAGTTGTGGGTGTTTTCTTCTCCGTAATGTGTGTGTGAATTAACTCATTTAAAGGCTTCACTGACACGCAGGAAGAGATAGCTTGTAGAAGTAATATTGTAAAGGTTTGTAACAAACCTCAGGGATATTGAAAAGGAGTCTGAGTTATTGGGTGTTGTTGGAGGAGGGAGAGAATCCGCTCCAATTCAGTCTCTCCTGATAGTGTACAGGTCCCCCTGCCAAGATCTTGGGCTTCTACCGCGCGACCATGACAGAGCCAGAAGATGCCTCAGGGCCGGTGGGCTCCGGCTCGGGAGACAGCGGGGACTCCCCGCAAGAGAACGACTCCTCTTTCCCCCTGTCCTCGCTGGCCAACCTCTTCGAGGGGGAGGAGGGCTCCCCTGCTCCCGAGCTGCCCCGGCCCGGAGAGAGCAGGCAGAACCTGCGCATGAAGTTCCAGGGCGCCTTCAAGAAGGGCATAACCAACTCCATGGACCTGCTGGAGTCCTCCATCTACGAGTCGCCCGTGGTGCCAGCCCCCAAGAAGGCGCCCATGGATTCCCTGTTCGACTACGGAACCTATCACCAGCCCAACAACCAGAAACGGAGGAGGAAGAAGATCCCAAACAGGTGAATTGACCTTTCCGGCTCTGTCCTCTCCTCTCTCTTTGTGTCTGGACCAGACGGAACCCGTGAAGGGGCGAGGCTGGTAATGAGAAAGCCTTTTGATTTCCCCTGGTGCTGCCCTGCTATATGAAAGAGTGAAAAGGTGTGTGGGAGAGGACAATTTATGCAATCTGATGAAAATGAGTTAGTGTTTTTACTGTATGGCTTATATTTTACCTTCTATGACCACGGTGTCAAATTAAACTTTTAGAATAAAAAAGTTGTTCTAGTTTACAAGGCAGCAAAGAAGGGGAGAGTGTGCGTGTGGAAGAGTGGTAATGAAGGTTTCTCTTAACATATTTCTGAACATTTTATATTGTTTAAGTGCTTACTTTTCTCTAAAATGTGTAACACCACACATGACAAAAACGTCATGTCCCAGATAGGTTGGTCTTAATGTATTAATGGATTCTGGGTCTGAATTACTGGTTGATAAATTAAACATTGTCCTTTGGCACTTTGCTTCCTCTTTTTTTCACAGTACAACATGAAAATGCTGATCAGGAATAAAGTTGTTTCGTTTTCTGTGCCCCATAATCCGTAATGGACTCTCTCTTTGAACAGTCCGTTATATCCTCACTATCTAGGCCCTCTTATGAGGTGATAAATGAATGGAAAGGAGAGAACTTTCTAACACTCACTTCATCCACAGCGCAGTACTCTGGAGGGCGGAACAAAGAGCTGTGTTGATGTTGAACAGTCTGTGGCCTCCGTAGCACACAAAGCACATGTTGTTGTCGCGGTGAGGTAATATTTTGGTTGTGGTTTGTAGCTGGCGGGCTCTGCTGTCGGAGAGCTCCTGTACTGTATCCTGTACAGAGTGAGTCCTCTATGTTGGATACTCAGGGGTTTGAAGGGCTCAGTTCAGTTCAAGGCGAACCGATTTTGAACGGTCTTTCTCACAACTGTGCCAGCAGACTCTTTTCAGCTGCTAGAATCTGAATGAAAGGCGGTGCACAGCCCACTTGGAAGCCAGCAAATGCCCTGTCTGGACGAAGAGGCGCACCTAATTGATTTCAACATATTTTCAGCCACAAAAGGTGCAGCTATTTAAGACCAAACAGAGTAATCTAATGCCTAACGTGTAATAAACAGACAATTGTAACTAATTGCAAGCATTTAGAAACGGCATTTAGTTCACTGTAATAGTATATGTTAAGAACAGTTGGTTTGAAGTAGGAGTGCAACATACCCCTCATCTGAAGGTCTATGGTAGGAAAACGTAGGATTCTGAATACATTTTTACTGTTTCCTAGGTACTCTGTTTATATTTATTGGCCTAATATGTGTTCAGCATTCCAGAGCAATCTACGTTTGGAAAGATAACAAAAGATAGAAAATACATACTTGTGTACGTGCATCTACTCTACAGTACAGCAAGGTTTCAGTGGGGTCGTAGTCATGTCAGCGAGGCTGTGAGAATCTTGGAAACATTATTTGATTCTGAAACAAACATGTTGGTGTGTTTTGTTAGCGATGTGCAGATGTGTCTGCAGGGAAATGGCAGGAATCCAACAAAATTTCAGCAGTCCAGTATTTGATTCTGAGGTCCTCTGAGTGCAAACGCAGCAGTGCTATTCCAGTACTTCAGTTCTGATGACATACCCAATAAATGTTCCTCTGAAGTTTCACTGTGAAGGAGTGGTGTATCTAATCTTCAGCCATCTGACCGTATGAATCGTCCAAACTTTCCAAGTACATTAGCAGTTTTTACTTCCTCCAATCAAGTAAATTCAGTTCCCTTTCTATGTACCTAACCTTCAGGCAGAAGCAGCAGCAGTTGTTGTTTTGGCAAGGAGGGGGTACAGGTGTAATTTAAAAGAAGACTACTAAATCTGTCTCCAAGGACTAGAAAAATAATAGCTAATCTGGAGAAATGGCCTGCTAAATTCTTTAACGGAGGTTCATGAAGAAATGGATTTGCGCATGTGCACACACACTCAGACAGCAATACATGTTTATGCTTTTTTTGCCCTGTGGCAGTTCCTTCTCATTCCAAAAGAGCTCTCTGTTCTGCTGAAACTTGTACTGCTGCATGAATAATGAGGCAGGCATGATGATGTAAGCACTCACAACAAGGGTTGCCTATTGAGTGTAGATGAGACGTAAGGACGGAGCTTTCACTTATTCCATTGACTGCTAGAAAAGTTGTAACACTACTTTTCTAAACACTAAGTTACAGAATCGTTTTAAACCTTATTAACCTGAGCAAAAAAATCACATTTGCGAAAATTAGACAACTTAAAGTGGCAATAATTAGCTAAATGGAATCGATAAAAACTCAGAAAAAGTGAATAAAATCAAACAAACTGCAGAACTTCAGGATACAATTTGACCTGAACTTGACATGTAATGATAAGATATTACTTTAATACTTTTTATTGATGTTAAAGACAGGATGTTCTCTCTTAAATCCTTCAGTTTTCAATCTCTTCCAATGCAGTGAGTAAGTCAGATGGATTCTTTTTTTATCCAAACCAGCTACAGAACAGCTGTCTTGCATCAGTAGATTCCATCCATGTGCTCTCACCTTTGACCCCGTCCTGCAGTTGCCTTACCGGTCTCTGTCTCCCCAGCAAGCTGGCTGCTGCCAGTGTGAAGGGCCCGGCCCCAGACCCTCCTCCAGTGCTGAAGGTGTTCAACCGCACCATGCTCTTCGATGCTGTGTCTCGGGGAGACACCAGCGCTCTCCAGGGACTCCTCCAGTTCCTGCAGTGCAACAAGAAGAGGCTGACTGATGAAGAGTTCAGAGGTTAGGCTCCAGATACCCCAACCAGTGGGCAGAATGAAAGTGAGGGAGATGGTTAAGTTTAAGGCTGATACATTCGAATGCATATACAGTATGTAAAAATCATAAGGTCACATTTCAAAGAACAAGCAGCATGATTTTTGTATAGGTTGGAGTTTAATACCATAAACTACCTAAATGGCACTTTGCCTCAATATTATTCCATATAACAATTAGTAGGATTGTTGTTTTATTTTATTTGGTCAATTATGTTATCCATTGTTGAATCAGAACTTAAGCTACTTAGGTTACATACATTATTGTGCAAAAGTCATTGTTGCATTGTTCTGCTCTCCTCATTTAGTGTTTGCCTCCTTTATGCAGAAATGCAATTCTGCATTATCTTCTGCTGATTCTTTTGAACCACCAGTTATTCTTGCTAGATCTGTATATTTTAGCGCTAAAGGTAGCCTCTTAGCTTTAAGGTTGTGTAGAGAAATAACTTATATTAACAATGAACATCTGACAACACATCAATTAGAGGCGATTGATAAATGTAATGGATTTTCTGCTACAGAATTTCATATTAGCTGCTTATGTAGTTTGGTTGTTATAATATAATCTCTTTCAGGTGAATTTAAGATCGCTTAATGACAAGCTTAGTTTTTTTGAATAATATCAGAAATCACTAATGGGGGCTATGAGTAAATGATGCTCATAATATACAAACATTGTAACTTCTGGTTGTTGTTAAGATGATTTTGACTTTTGCATAGCAGTGTATATCCTGAGCTGTTGCTGGCAAGTTCATATTATTTCAGGACATAGACTGCTAGATCTAAGCAGAGAAAATGGACAAAACAGCATTAGTGTTTCTAACAGAAGAGTAGGTGTCTGCTTTTCATTATATTCATTATTCAGTTTTACATTATTGGAGTTCTGTCATTATTCACTCGTAATGTCCAGCCCTTCAAGATTTCCTTTCTCAGTTTGCAAGGTGAACCGATGTAGCTGTGGAGTGTGAGTGTGAATGAAAGAATACCAGTCAGGGTGTAGGTGGAGGGGGAGAGGGGGAGAGGTGACACTGTGTGCAGATCACAGGAAACAAAAGTGTGCAAGAAATCACAGCAAACTGTTTTTAGGAAAGTACTCTTGAAGTAGGAAGCCGAAGTAATGAGGGAAAAAAAAGCTCTCGGCTGTACAACAAATAGTACATTCCTAAGAGAAGACTCAGATGACATTTCAAGTCTCGAGTCTTTTTTTAAGCTAAAGACAGCAAAAAACCAAGTCCTAATTATTGTGTGGTGACATCTTAGCTACAAATGTCCAGCAAAAAATTGCTGTTCTGGTTTCCAAAATGGAAAGAGTGTTTAACTCCATCTTCTTTTGATCCAGAACCATCGACGGGGAAGACATGTCTGCCCAAAGCCTTGCTCAACCTCTACAGTGGGCAGAACGACACCATTCCCTTCCTGGTGGACATCGCCGAGCAAACGGGCAACCTGCGGGAGTTCATCAACACGCCCTTCAGAGACGTCTACTACCGGGGTGAGCTCCCGGGACAGCTCAGTCTGCCCCCTGTTTTCATTCTCACATCTTTCTATGTAGCCCGGGGTCGACCATTTTTGCAGCTAGCAGTAGCCAAAGCTGGTGGCCAACGGGACACACAGTATAAGAGAGTCCCTCTTCCAGCTGAGCGGGGAAAGGGGTTTGGGGGCATCAAACGTTGACAAGACTAAGTTTTTCAACATCTGGGGAAAAGGGGTTTGGTTGTTCCTTTGCAGGATGACGGATAGTGATGGGAGCCCCTGCTCTGAGGGGCTGTAGTCTGGCCTGACTAAAGGCATTCCTGACAGTAGCAGAGTTCTGGTCTGAACTGTAATAACAAAGATCGCCTGCTTCAGTCACTGCTCTAACAGAGAGGACCTGTCCTAGCTTGTTCGATGGGAGTTTGTCATGAAGGAAGTCGTGAGAGAAAACTTGGATATTACTGTCTTTGCCTGCTGGCTTGGCATGCCCCGAGGTTGAAACATATGTGGCCACACCCATGGATGTGCTAAAGTTAGCTCAGATGGGGCCTTAGCTTAGTCTGTACAGCCTGTCATTTGTCACCCCTCAATTGAAGCAGATTAAATCCTTAAGTACTCTAGGGCTGATTAAAGAGTCAGCATAGACTGGAGGACCTATTAGCTTTCATTTAGCTTATTACAGTGCTACAGTAAGTTCAAACATAATGTTATACAGCTGCATATCCTTGACCTCAGCTTTACTGGATAGAAGATCCAATTTTCTTCAATTTGAGAAGCTGACAAAACAATCATTTCCTGTTTCCTGTATTTGGGGTTAACGGTTTTTCTATTTACTGTAGATTATAAACGTAAAATTCAAAATAGCTGAGGGCAAAATCTTCCTAAACCATTTTCTATATTAACGTATTGAAAATGTGTAGGTTAGTTACTGTAAGCATTCAAATAGCAAAGCACTTCAACAATAAAAATAATACGAAATGGCTTTCATTATTCAACAATTTCCTTTAGTAGATATTCTGAGGGGAACTCTGATCCGTAAGGCATGTAGCATTTATATGATACCACAAACCAGGTTCTCTGCTCTGGTCCTGGAGGGACATTATGCCTTCTGAGTTTGCTACAGTCAAGTTCTTATTCAGAGGCAAGTCTAGGAAAGGTTACATTAAGTTCTGTATGCTGACATTGAAAATAACTAGCCTTTACTCTGGATATAATATAATTTAGATATTTTTAACACAAGGACTTTTTAACCCTTAGTTATGAGTTAAACTGGAACAAGGCTTGAGAACCTATGCTAGGGCACTCTTGCACACAGACAAGAACAAACACTTCTATCAGTGCCTCTATCTCAAAGTGGGCAACCACAACTCTGCAGATAACTTTGCTTAGATGAGTCACTGGTCGGGGGTTTGGCAGGAACAAGAGGCAAAAGGTGAAAGACTAATCCAGATGAGTTAGGCATGCCCTACAAGGGATAATGCTTATTTTCATATAGGTAAATCCTAGGAGTACCTGATATGCCTGTGTTTTTTTTGTCATTTGAATTCAAAGCCTATAGCTTTTCTTTACAGCACTTGAATTCTATGAAGGTGTTTTCATGCTGCAGGAAACTGTCAATCAATATGACCCTTGGTAAAGAAATCTTTCAGCTTGGGTTCACTCGAGTGACAGTGGTGTCACTCTGTGTGTGACCAGAGCAGTGCACTCACACCCACCTTTTAAGCCTTGACCACCCCAGTTCTGGATAATAAACCTGGGTGAGGTCCTTAAAAAGGCAGAAAAATCCCTATGTAATCACAATTCCCTTCACTGATTATTTTTAATGATGATCATTACTTTACTCATCCACACTCAGAAAAGGCTGTTTTCAGCATTTGTTGAGCAGTAATTATCTTCAGTTGGATTCAGGGCTTTTAATTTATAGTTTGCGTGACAAGATAAGATCTCTTTATTGGCTATATACTATTTCTTGTATTAGGAAATTCTTTTCACATACCCCAGCTTGCTGTCCATGAGACACACAGATGTGGAGAGAGAAGCTTGGGGTCAGAGAGCAGGGTCAGCCATTTACCTGTATATGGCGGCCCTGGAGCAGTTGGAGTTAAGGGCCTTGCTCAGGGGCCCAACGGAGTAGGATTCCTCTGCCAGCTGCCAGATACAAACCAGCAACCTTCTAGCCACAGGCGCAGATCCTGAGCCACAGAGAGCTTATGAGCAGGAGATTATGAGAGTATTTTGCACAGTTTTTGTCTCACAGAGACAAAGAATAATACCAGAAATACCAGATAGGTAGGTTCCCAGCTCCAATCTGCCCTACAAAATACATATTTAATGTAGGATGTTCTTTAATGACAAAATGTACAAGGGACATCAGCTTTTCAGAGGAGGATTGAGCTCTCTCAGTCTGTCAGATAATATTCCCAGCTGTTCACACACTGTTGATCCCTGAGGGTTTTGCACGAAGTACAGCAGTTTGTCTCTGCTCAGACGACCCACAATGGATAAGCAGAGCTAGTGTGGTTTATTTCTGCCCTGCAAGTTGGAAACTCTCTGAAGGTGTGGCTGGGGAGGGGTAGCATGTTTAAACCTCCCTTTCCCAACCCAGGGCTTTTATGTGGCTTTCTGTTTAACTGCAGTAGAAAAGGCAGCACTAGCCCACTGGAACCTTACAGATCACTCACAGTCTTGTGTAAAGGTGTCCTTACAATAACTGCCTTGTGTGTCCCTGGGACTGAACACTGTAAAGCTCATTTACCACACAGCACACTCTGCCCCTGACTCATACTACTTTAATGGTGAATGTGGGCAGGGCTTGTGATACTCCAAATATGACTTAATTTGCTTTTATTTACTGAGAGCTGTTCTAGGTTCTAGGCTGATGGTACACCTGCTTGTGATGTAGACTCAGAGTTAGAGTGTTTTAATCTTCGCATACAGAATGACAATGCTGTAGACCTAGAAATTCAGTGCTAATAAGAATAGATTAGGTTAAAAGGTGAGAGAGGCACACCATACACCTTGATCTACAGGGTGCTTATTGAGCTTGTTAGCCTATTCAAGCAACAGTATAAGAAAAAATGCATTTTGTGGGGAATTAAGTTTGAAATGTCACCATAGACATGTTCCCACTGGAAAACTACAGTTCAACAACAGTACACAGGTGTACTGTCATGAAACAGTTCAGTGTCCACTGACATAATTGCCACAGTTCCACTTCTGTCTATACCACCTGTCTTAGCTTATTCAGATAGAGGTAAACTGTGTGCCAAGCAGCAAACTAAGCATGAGCTCCCCTGTTTTATTGAGAGCCATGAGGCCAGCAGTGCTTGTGCTGTAGGCAGTGAAGCCTGTCCACGGAGTAACAGAACGACAGGTTTTGTTTTCTCTGACTCCTCTCTCCACTCTTCAGGCCAGACAGCTCTGCACATCGCCATCGAGAGGCGCTGTAAACAGTACGTGGAGCTGCTGGTGGAAAAGGGGGCAGATGTCCATGCCCAGGCCAGGGGACGTTTCTTCCAACCCAAGGATGAGGGGGGCTATTTCTACTTTGGTGAGATCTTAATACACACTCCGCCTGGCTCTTTACGATATGTACCACCCAGAATGTGCTATAACTGGCCATTTGTGAATGTCAGCTTCTAGGGAGGAAAAAAAAACTTTTTTAAATGTGGCACTTGCATGAAACTGTACTATTATGTGCTCAAACTTAAATGAAGAATTTAAAATGTGTTTCACTATTATCAACACCTGAATCCCTCACTAAATGCTAACTGGAACAACTGTTTTTTAAAAAAACTGTTTAAAAAATATTTTTGTAAGACAAATTTACCTGTTACTGAAATCTCAAAACAGTCTCTCAGCAGATTTTGAAAACTGTGACTTTATTACCTATTTTGCATTTTGAATGAAAACATCATACCCTGACTGGAAAACTGCACATAGAGGCTTTACTGAAAAATATCCAGAGCTCAAACTGAAATTCCCAGCAATGAGTGTAGTTTGTGAATGGCAGCAGCTCACTCCATCAGACCAGTTTGTTCAGGTTCAGCTTTTCCAAAGTCTGTTGTCATAGCAATGTGAAGCGATCCAAGACCCACCTTGTAAATTGAAACTAACCCCACCTGTTATCCCAGGGGATAAGTAGACTGAGGTGTTAGACTTGGGAAGACGTCGGTTACTTGATATTTTTATTCCTAAAAGGAAACTAAATATTGCGTAAAAAAAGGGTGGAGAGTTAGGAAATTAAACTGACACAATAAACAGTCTACATCAAACACACCCAGAAAAGACGCCATTACTGAAAGGTGCTTCTGTGTTCATGTGGAAAAATAAAAGCACACTTCAGTTTCCAACAAACAATAAATAAGAAGTCCCAACTTGTGTGAACAAAGAGATATTTGTAAACACAAAGTCTTTATTTTCATTCTTAACTGAGCTCTCATTTAATGTGGCACCTTTTTCAACTACTCTAGGAGCTCACTACTGCCACCTGATGTTGCTCCTGTTTAAAATCTAAACAATTTATTCCATATGACTTTTCTCCCCTTTATCTGTACTGTTTTTGATCAATTAGTTCTCAATCCAAACACTAGCATTGCTTTGAATGTCTACTGCCTTCAATTGGAGAATTAATCATTTATTAAAAGCAAATATCTAGAAAATCTGTATTTGTCTAAATTCATGCTGACTATACCCTAGAATCCTATTGCCACACATATGGAAGTTTTAATTATTGCTTCCATAACCTTAAATGCCATAGACATAAGACTTATTGATCTGTAAATTATGGTTTAGTCTGTTACTCTTTTATGGATAGAGTATTTTTTATGGATGCTTTATTTTCAACTGGTATTACTTTAATCTAGATTGACAGCTGAAAGAGTTTTGTTAATGAAATATGAATAGCATCTCTTATTTAATTAAATACCATTGGTAGAATAGCATCAGACCATGGCAATTTATTTATCTCAAGAGATTCTAGTATCTGTAACACCTCTGCCTTTTCTGGTGCTGATAATATTTTATATATAACTGTTCCCTTAGCCTAATGCATATTGTCAAGCAGCTGAGTGAAATATTAATCTAAGACATCAGCTATTTCCCTTTCATGGCCTTAAGTTTTAGTTCCACTTTACTGGGATACTTTCCTCCTTAAAAAGCTCCCTTTCAAATCTCCATCCTGTGCAATTCTCTGAAGGTCTTTTTTTAAATAGTTATAGTGGTACAGAGTAAAATATCATACTGTCAAATACCATGATGAAGTATGAACATTTGATAGTTTCGATTATATCCTGGTAAATAGGAAATTAACAGTTGGTGTGGATTTTAATCATACAAAATGTATCATAACATTTACATGATTTATTAAGGTAATCATCTATATTTGAAGAGACAGGCTTGATAATCTGTTACCCATGGCAACAACTCGGTTTCCATCAGAAGCATTTTCCATTTCATTGAAACCTTGCTTATTCCAAACACTAGTAAAATTTAGAATTGGATTTCTAACACTTTAACTAATTGCAGATGCAAATTGTCTTCTGGCATTGCTGATTTCCAGAATTTCGTATGACATTTCTATTAAAATCAAGCCACAATATTAAACAGCATTAGCTTCACTGGTGAGACTGACTTGCAGATGAAAAGCACTAGCGAGAATGATGCATTAAGCAGGCAATCATATATTTCAAATTCTCTTATCGTCATTTCTAACTCCTTTTAAAGTGTCCTTGTTACTGATATGACACTATAGACATCTTTAATAAAAAGGAACTACAACTCCAAGGTGATTGGAACAATTGTTTCCCCCTAAAACCTCTATGTGTAAACATTTTAACATAAAAATGCTGATGTTTTTCGTGGCATGAATGTGGGACTTCCCCTTCCTGACAAACACGGAAACAGTTTGTCGAAAAATTGTAATAGCAGTATGGGAAGACTCTCTAAAAGTCTTACTGGAAATGTAATGCCAGGTCCTGCAGTGAAGTGTCCATGGTCCTGGAAGCAGTGCACACTGATGAGGCCTGCTCATTTGTTCTGCTCTTAGAAAAATCAGTCTTGAAAAAAGAGAGTCAAGGCGAATGAGGGAGAAACAAATATTGAGAGAATCCAGGAAATGCTGCTGGAAACAATGATGTGATTTGTATCAGGAGGTAGAAAGCTGGTCCGTACTGTACTGTATGTATTTCTGAGAAAATGCTGTTAATACACTGATCGACACAAGTGAATTGACCTAGGCGGATTAATTAAAAAGATTAGAAAGTGGGCGCTGAGAATCAGTTGGGTCATTCATCTTGCACAACTGTTAAAGCAGTTGTGCTTTAACAGCCATATCACCCTGCAACTCACAACTGGCAGCCCACTGAAGCTCAGCAGGTGTGAGCCTGGTCAGTACCTGGATGGGAGACCTCCTGGGAAAAACTAAGGTTGCTGCTGGAAGAGGTGTTAGTGGGGCCAGCATGGGGTGCTCACCCTGCGTTCCATGTGGGTCCTAATGCCCCAGTATAGTGACGGGGACACTATACTGTAAACAGGCGCCGTCCTTCGGATGAGACGTAAAACCGAGGCCCTGACTCTCTGTGGTCATTAAAAATCCCAGGGCGCTTCTCGAAAAGAGTAGGGGTGTAACCCCGGTGTCCTGGCCAAATTTCCAATTGGCCCTTACCAATCATGGCCTCCTAATAATCCCCCTCTATGAATTGGCTTCATTACTCTGCTCTCCTCCCCACTGAGAGCTGGTGTGTGGGGAGCGTTCTGGCGCACTATGGCTGCCGTCACATCATCCAGGTGGTGCTGCACATTGGTGGTGGTGGAGGGGAGTCCCCATTACCTGTAAAGCGCTTTGAGTGGAGTGTCCAGAAAAGCGCTATATAAGTGTAAGCAATTATTATTAATTAATTATTAAAACACTGCAGGGAAAGGTATCTGGGAAAGGTTTCCTTGAATGGCTAGAGTGTTGCTCTGTCTCCGTGCAGGTGAGCTCCCGCTGTCCCTGGCAGCCTGCACTAACCAGCCCGACATCGTGCACTACCTGACGGAGAACAGCCAGAAGAAGGCGGACCTGCGGAGGCAGGACTCGCGGGGGAACACGGTGCTGCACGCGCTGGTGCACATCGCCGACAACACGCGCGAGAACACCCGCTTCCTCACCAAGATGTACGACCTGCTGCTCATCAAGAGCGTCAAGCTCTACCCCGACTGCAACCTGGAGACCGTGCTCAACAACGACAGCATGTCGCCGCTCATGATGGCCGCCAAGCTCGGCAAAATCGGGGTGAGCGGGGGTACAGCGAGGTGGCCTCATTTTTGTTTCTGCTACTCTGGGTGCCGCAGGCGTGGTTGGGTAACTGCTCTCGGAATTTGGAGTTGTGCTTAAAAACATTTGCTTGTTGTCACCTTCAGTTGGGATGTCAGGGGCAAGGGTGACTAAACTCCCTAAAAACCAAACCTATAGGCTGTCAGTAGAAACCCACCCCCATCGCTCCTCTAGGTTGTGTTTCTTCAGGACTGGGGATGGGAGAGAACAGACCTCATCAGGAGGAGGAGGAATACCCCAGGCAGATGGGCTAGGAAAGGCAAAGGAAAGGAGAGGGGGGCATTTACTGTTGAAGGAAACACTAAGGAAGTATTTTTGAGTCAGATTGAAAGAAAACTCGGAGACAGAGAAACCAAGTAGACTGTAGAAGAGGCGAATCATGTGGTGGGGCGATTGGAAATTTTAGTGGCTGTCAGGGTAGCTGAAGTTATCATCAGCCAATGAGAGTTGTAGAAAAGTTTGGCATTACATTTCCAATTGTAGAAAAGTTTGGGCACCAGACGTAATGAACATACTAGTCTGCTTGGTGGAACTTGACCCGATTTCACCCAGCATCATCTGGACTTAAGCGCACACTGACTACAGCTATGCCAAAACAGCAGATGCACTGTATACAGTATCATTATCAGTGTCTCATTATCTCATTATTTAAGTGGCTCAGATTATTGGGAAAGAGAAAGTGAAAGGCTACAGCTGGAAAATAAAGAACAGGTGGTTTGGGGCTGGAGAGTAGATCTTTCCCTACATGAAGACTGGTACATAACAGGATTGTGAAAAGCAGTGGGCATTTTGATGCTCACGGCTTTTCTTGTGTTCTTAAGATTTCAGATGCCAGGTGGCAGACAGATCAAGGAGGACAAGAGAGGGGAAAAAGTTGAGGGGAAGGAGGAGGTAAATGTGAGCAAGATCAAGACTTGCAGTAGGTGGAGTTGTACTGTATCTATAGTTCAGTTACAAGTGCGAATGGGCACACTGAAAAACACAATTCATTAATCCTAGTGGAAACAGATGGCGGGGGTATTCTTTGGAAGGATTTTAAGATGAATTGGAGTATAATTACGATACACAGGTGAGGAGGCTGGGTAGCAGGATGGGAAGTTTGAAGGGCAATCATATGGAAAAGTTAAAGGTCTGTAATAATAATCCAGAAGAGCGGGATACCAACCCTGGGATTTGCAGAGGTTGTCCACTTTTTATTTTAATTGATGTACCAGTAAACTCTCCCCTGGAGGGGAGGGAGCCATTGTACCTAGGAACCTCTGACTGGGCGTTTGTATTTTCATCTCCTTAGTATCCACATGGTCAACTGTTATATTTTTAACTGCAAAGGCAAAACTATTTGAAAATAAAAGGATTGATTGATTGACTGAAACCTGCTGGTTGACTCTCTAGGTGTTCCAGCACATCATCCGCAGGGAGATCAAAGATGAGAACGCCAGACACCTGTCTCGCAAGTTTAAGGACTGGGCGTATGGACCCGTCTACTCATCACTGTATGACCTCTCCTCTCTGGACACGTGTGGGGAGGAAGTATCAGTGCTGGAGATCCTGGTTTACAACAGTCGCATAGAGGTGGGTGTGCATCAGCTAGCTAACTGCAAGAGTGTCCTTTACATATTCCTTGTCACCTATCTAACTGCTTGAGAGTCTTTTAAATAATCCTAGTCAGCTAACTAATTGCATGAGTGTCCTTTAAATATTTATGGTCATCTTACTCACTGCTTGAGTGTCCCTTAAATATTCCTTGTCAGCTAGCTTATTGCATGAGTGTCCCTTTAAAAATTCCTGGTAAGCTTGCTCACTGCTTGGGTGTACTTATAAATACTCCTGGTCAGCTAGCTAACTGGCAAGTGTATTTTATATTCCTGACCAGCTAGCTCACGGAGTATGCATGAGTATAGTTTGTGTGTGTTTTCTGTTTCCCGCAGACAAAGGTTTTAGACAATCTAACAATGTTACCCACCAGGAATTCAAGGTCTCAGTGAATGGTTTCCTTACTACTGTAGTACTTGCTTCTGAGACTGATATCCAGGGATCACAGAGTTGCCTTTGTTCTGCAGAATCGCCATGAGATGTTGGCAGTGGAGCCAATAAATGAACTCCTGCGCGACAAGTGGCAGAAATTTGGTGCCGTCACGTTTTACATCAGTGTGGTTTCCTATCTGGTTGCCATGGTCATCTTCACCCTTGTGGCCTACTACCGACCGTCTGAGGGCACGGTAAGACTCTGGAGAAGTGGAGTGGATTGTATAATGATGAATGCACGCAGAAGTCAAGATATTCACTGAGGGCTTTCTAACTGAAGAATCAATTCACATATTTGTACCTGGATTGTGTCTGATGCTCTCTCTTTCCTGCAACTTATTATGAACAGTGTTTTCTAAGACCACAAAAAGGAGAGAAATCCCATTTTAGTTAGTGACTTTCACCCTGGGAAGGATGATTGTCCTGTATGTCTGTGTAACATCACTAACAGCTCTCACTGGCTCATTCTCCCCTCAGCAGCTGTCTCTGTGTGGACGGATTTGGCCATGCGAGATACAGAGGTCTAACAGTCTCTTCTCTGTGTCCTCAGCCCCCATACCCTTATAGTACCTCTTCAGAATACCTGCGCATGGCGGGGGAGATAGTGACCGTTTTCACAGGAGTTTTCTTCTTTCTCACCAATGTGAGTCCACAGCTCTGCACACGGCCTCCACAGAACATCCTTCATCCCTTACTGGATATAAGAACAGTTACAAACAAGAGGAGACCATTCATTCATTCTAGCCCATTTGGTAGTTAGTAGTTAAATAATTTGAGGATAGGAACTTGAGAAATCACCGATGGACCTGAAGCCTCCATTATAGTTTTCTGCTATTATAACTTTATCTGTTATCAGTCTGAATAAGAGCTTGTCATTTTACAATGTAATTCACATTGATCAAAATGATACCTGTGATTAGAGCCCAAGATAACCTATATACATGAACAGCCGATCTGAAGTGTTGTACATGGTAATCCATCATATTTACCAATGAAGTCTAATTGATGCAGGTTTTGTTAGCTTCGTTCCTCTCTCCACGTCCATACAGCTAGATGGCTACTTTCTGTTATATGCTATACAGATCTGTCAGGTTTAATTGCCCAAAAGAAAATAGCTACAAATCAGTAGATGTTCAAATCACAGTATTGTTTGAGTAAAAAGCACAGAAAACAGCAAACAGTCTAAGATTCTTGCACAACAGAATACATCTAGAAATGGCTAGGAGTATTTTTTTCATATTTGTAAGCCAAAACAAGCGTGTATATACATACTACAATTTAAAAGTTCAGTTTTGAATCTCATATACACAGGTTTTTTTTTAGAAATTGTCTTTGTCTTCAGCTAATTAAAATGGCAGTGCCATGACGCAAGAAAATGTTTCAGGAACCAGCATTTAATTAGTGGTTGTTTTGTTTGCTTGTCCTTGTAACATGATTTTACCTGAAATCCACAACCGAGTGCAGCTGAATCTTGTTCTTTCTCTATCTGCAGATCAAAGACCTCTTCCTGAAGAAGTGTCCTGGGGTGAACTCCCTCTTTATTGACGGCTCTTTTCAGCTGCTTTAGTAAGACACCGTACGCAAATACATTTTCAGCTCTGTAGTCTTGGTAAAGGTGTGTGTGTGCAGGCTTCCGAGGTTTCTAAGTCAAGGCTAACGTGTTCGTTGATTAACAAATAGAACAGACAAATGGATTTCCAGTTTTGAGGGTAGCCACGATATCTACGATATGTTAGGGGTGCCGTCAGAGGAATAAGCTGTACTGTCGATCTGTCTATCCATTTTCTAAACCAAGGCGGGCTACACTCTGGATGGGATGTCAATCCATTGCAGGGCACACACAGAGACACAGACACATACACTCACTCCAGAGCCAATTTTCCCAGAAGCCAGTGTGTCTTTGGACTATGAGAGGAAACCCACTCAAACGTGGGGAGATCGTACAAAGTTCTCTGCGAGGCAGCAATGCAAACCACTGCTCCACTGTGCCGCCTCCAGTACTGGTACTGTCCGGTCAGGTTTAATTTAGTAAAACCATGAAGACCCTGAATAATAGCTGCTGTGAAGCTAAGGCTCGCCCACCCCAGTAACCCCTGAACCAACCTCTGCTCTTTTTCAGCTTCATCTACTCTGTGCTGGTGCTAGTTACAGCGGCTCTCTACCTCTCTGGAATCAAGGCCTATGTGTCTGTCATGGTGTTTGCACTGGTATTGGGCTGGATGAACACACTCTACTTCACCAGAGGGCTCAAACTCACGGGGACATACAGTATCATGATCCAGAAGGTAGACTAGGCACTGTCCTTGCTTTTCTGTAGCAATCTTTTGTCTATAGCCTTCATCAGCCTGGTTGTTTTTTTTATTTCTAAACAAACAGTTTCACCTTTGTCCTGTGACTGCATCTTCTACTTCCTGCATTGCAATGCTACAAGGCCAATCATGTGAAGGGTAGCTCAGCTCCTACTTTAAATTCTATACATTTCTGCCTTGGGGAGAAAATGAATTTTACTCTTCACAATGGCAGCCTGTTCTACAACAGAGGTTCCAAAGTGAAGCTCCACAAGTCCACATTCCTGCAGGTTTGTAGATCCAGGTAACACCTGAAGAGTTGGGAAAATCTGGTCCCTGTCACCAATTAAGCCAATAATTATTACAATATGATTGAGCTGACCTGGAAAGAAAATACCTTATAACTGTAGCCCTCCAAGTCTGAGTTTATGAACATTTATTTCCCTTAAATTCACAATTCATCTTGGACTTTTACAGATCCTCTTCAAGGACTTGTTCAGATTCCTGCTGGTTTATGTGCTGTTCATGATTGGATATGCTTCAGGTAAGAGCTGAAAGTATCTAGAAATGTTTTAAATCCTGGTTCTGGCAGTGAAAACTGACCCCATAAAGAGAGATTGAGGGATGAATTTTAGATCACAATACCCATACTTTATCATTGTCTTTATTAATAAATGATAACCAATTTAAAGTCAACCTTCCATGTGCACAAAAATACTGAAATGACCCCATCCATATTAAGTTATTAAGTTAAGCTTACTTTCAACAAACATTATGTACTGTATAACTCTAAACCTCTCTATAGAGAGACTGAAAAAATATGTAAAATGCATAAAGTTAGACCTTGTTTCATCACTTTTATTGTAATATATTGCTTAATCAATGCTGGGCTAATATGGCCTCAAGGGAACATGCATACAAGACTATAACCATCACAATTTGTATCTCTCTGTCAGCCCTGGTGTGTCTCCTGCACTCGTGTCCTGGCCCAGATGCACAGTGCCCAGAAGGAAAGTGTCCCACCTATCCCCAGTGCCGTGACACGGACACCTTCAGCACTTTCCTGCTAGACCTGTTCAAGCTCACCATCGGCATGGGCGACCTGGACATGATCAACAGCACCCAGTACCCGGCTGTCTTCCTCATCCTGCTGGTCACCTACATCATCCTCACCTTCGTCCTGCTGCTCAACATGTTGATCGCTCTGATGGGGGAGACCGTGGGACAGGTGTCCAAGGAGAGCAAGAAGATCTGGAAGTTGCAGGCAAGGGGCAGCATGGTGGACTCATCTTGAGAGAAGGGAGCGAGTTTCTGGTGACCTCGCCTGAGTCGAGCAGTGATCCTGAAAGTTCCAAGGGATCTCTTCTATTTTAGCTGCAGTAATGACTTAGTTCTTAAGCAAATAAGTAATTTGATCATTAAGGTCTCAATGATGGATGCATAACCACAGATAACCTTGTCCTGGGGGGGTGAAAAACGATGAGAAAAGGCTTCCCCCATCTTCAAATAGAATATTTTCACAGATTAAATAAAATGTAAAAACAATAAGGTCCGTTTAAAATTGGCATGAATCACATTTTGGCTGTCACCCAATGGTGCACGAATTTGGTGGAAATGTTGGGGATAATTTTAAGCCTGCAGAGCCTGGCAACTTTTCCTCAAAGCCTGCGTTCAGCATTTCAGCAGCACGAGAGAGTGTTTAACCCTCAACGGGACTTCACACTGTAGCAAGGGAACGGTCCATCACGTCTCTTATTTGTGGACCGGTCTGTGCGGTAACTAACGGCAACCCCCGGTGAGTGAGGAGCCGGCTGCACTGTAATCCAGCACTGCTTTCCTCTCAGTGGGCGACCACCATCCTGGACATCGAGCGCTCCTTCCCCGTGTGCCTCCGCCGGACCTTCCGCTCGGGCGAGATGGTGACGGTGGGCAAGAACAGCGACGGGACCCCCGACCGGAGGTGGTGCTTCAGGTACAAGCCCCTTCTAGCCATCCTCGTTAACAAATCACCTGCATTTGAGCTGAGCAGCCGGCTCAAAGGTGCATAATGTACCAAAATCACACTCTGACACTACCTAACTACATTGTCAGACCAGAATTTGAGGATTTTTTTTACATTTGCAGTGTTTTAAAGCTGTAAATCGATGTCAGTCAGTGTCTTAAAGTATGAAAGATGCCCCTATCTTAATAATACATTTCTTACTATGAAAGTTTTGGATTATTATTTCTGTTTACTGTAGTTTTCTTTCTTCTGTATAGAATTATGTTAAGTGCCTAGAGGATGCTCTGGTTTGAAACGTGCTAAATAAGAATATAAACTGATTGATGTCTGTCGATACACTTAATGGAACAGCCCATCCCTGCTCTTGGTCCTGGTCCTGGTGCTAACCTTCGATCTGTGTCCTATACCAGGGTAGATGAGGTAAACTGGTCTCACTGGAACCAGAACCTGGGCATCATCAATGAGGACCCTGGCAAGAATGAGACCTACCAGTACTACGGCATCTCTCAGACCGTCAGAGGCCTGAGGAGAGGTAAGATGCACACAGCCGTGCTTGCGAGCGATGTGAAAAGATCCTCTCACCTCCGTTTCTGAAGCCAATGAAGAAAAACAAGAAAAAATATTAAGAATCAACTTTCTTTAGTGGGCGGCCGAGTGGTGTTTGCAGAAAGAGTATTAACCCCATACACCATTACTGTAAAGGGAACTGGAACTGGGCTATAAATATTGCAGAAGCCTAGAGAATATGTGCTCTGTCCTGTTTCAACTGTTATGTCTGGTTGCTCGGGCCCAGCTTCTGATTTATTTGCACTTTCTTATGCAAAAGGCTGGGGGAACATGGACCTACCCAGCCATGTTGATGAAGCCAGTACCCTGGATGATCAATTATCTGCTAAATACTGAAATGGGCCGGAGGTGACCTGACATGGCGCAGGAAGGACGCCCCTCACGCGCTGTCTCTCTGTTCCAGACCGCTGGTCCACGGTGGTCCCTCGGGCGGTGGAGCTCCACAAACACCCCCGGTCAGGGGAAGCCGTGGTGGAGATGGAGCAGTTTGAACCCCTGAACCCCGGGAACCGGCCGAGCAGGGAGACGCCGAACAGATTCTGACAGACGGAGATAAAAATCTCTCCCTCCCCTCCTTCCTCCCACAGAGCAGGTTAGCAGGTTCGCACAAGCTGCTGTGACTTTTACTTTGGTACCCTCTGAAGAAAAGGTCTCCAGAGGACTGGACAAGCCCAGTAGAAAATTCTAGCTAAAAAAAAATCTGAAAATATTGAATGCATCTTCTTCAGTCGTTCCAGCAACTGCTGTCTTGTAAAAGATCTGCACAGAAGGGAAATACTGTAGCTGGGGAGTGAATGTCATCTAGGTCAGAAATTGTATAAAGAAAATTACCTGCTTATCACAACTCAAGGAACATGGCCATGTCGTATTACTGTACTTTGTCTTACCTGGAGCTACCAGTTGCACTAATTGGTTTATAATCCTACCATAGAAAATCAGCAATATTAAATGGTAAAATTATTTTTCTTAGAGAACAGATTTTTAAGTAGTCAAAAGGAATAAATGGATTTGAGACCTACAGTACAGTATAAGACTGTGGCTGGAGAACTGGTTAATTTCTGTTAAAGTACAATTGCTCAGGGATTTGAAGAAGTAGAAAACTCTGCAGTTCTCTGCAGTCTTTCATCTGTTTAAAATGATTTTAATGTTACTTTAAATTTTTTAATTAGACATTTCAATGATTGAAATTCATGTTTACCTCCCAAACTATTAGTCCCGTCAATCAACCTGGTTTACTGCTGCGGTCGTTGTACAGGCGCAGCAGGGCTGGAGCCCATGCACGAATCCTCAAGAGCTGTGCACAGTGGAGCCAAACTCCTTTTACACACTGTGAGCCCTCAGCGCTGGCAGCCCCATTCCTCGCTGGATGGAGGGTTAATGCATCTCTTATTCACAGCACTACAAGCGCTCACTACCCTGGCTGGCCTCAGGGAGGTGCTGTTACAGTCTGAGGCCTGCTGAGCACACCCCGGCAATTCGGGGACCCAGCCTAGGAGTCATGACTACATCTGGCTAACAATACATCCAGCCAGTAACATCAGGACTGAACGGCTCAATCTCTGGCTTTTTATTGGCTGAGCCACTTGGTGTCCAAATCTGTTGTATCTTTAACACTTAGTTAAATAATACGTATGCTAATCAGGTTTCATTTTAGTTAAATGTAACATTAGGGTTGTTTTTTAAAATAGTCTAGTGCATTTCCTTGTCCTGTCCTAGTGCTGTTATGCTTGCACAATTGCAACTTCTAATTGTATTGATTCCTGACAGAATCATTTACTGTTCTCTGATCTCTCAGAGCTGAATGAAGGGTTGTAAAAAATGTGCAATGTAAGCAATAAAATAGACTGTAGCATAAAGATAGCAGAAAACCCATTGACTAGCTACATGCAAGAATAAACCCACACTAGGTGGCAGTGCAGCATAGAAATCGGAACAGACCTGATCAAGGCAAACCATTGGGAGCTGCCCCCTTCAGACAGATTCACTCCCAGACTGAAGTGACAACCGCAAATTTTAAAGACGATGGGAAAATGCAAAGTCTTTATACTCTTAAGTGAGCAAAATGTGGAATGAGGAATGCGGTTGTATATTGTGAGTGTCGTTTTATTTAAAGTTTTCAAAAGTTTAGGGCAGAAATGCAGAACTGGCCAGCAGCGTGTTCAATTTACTGTAATTTTCAAACCTCATCACCATATAATTAGAGTTGACAATGCATGATAACTAATGACTATGCATTAATAATCCCTTCTTATTTATTTTTGTGTCAGTCAGATATTTAAGATATAAGCATCTTCACCATAATTCCTATTGTCTTATACAAATGGTTTATTCATTCTTTTCTGTTAACTTGTAAGCCAATATGGGCTTGTGATCTAGAGAACTGCTGTCAAAATATACCTCAGTGAAGAACCAGGCCAAATATTATTCATCAATGTGTTTTGCTAGATGGTCAATATGCAAGTCTCTGCATTATTGTGATTTTCTAATTTATTTAATAATTGTTTTAACCAAAACAGTTTGTACTGTATAGCTCTACAGGCTTGTACAAACTGGAAAACAAAGCCCTGTAAATGAAATTGTATTACAATGTAAGGTTCAGTATTGTATACTAGATACTAGTTTTTCGTGGGAACTATGTACATTAGAATGCAAAGAATGCATATATAAGTTTAGTAAATTATATATAAAAAAACAGAAGACTGGAATAGTCCCATGTGTTAAAATCAGATTTCTATTGCTGCTATAGTGATTCCCCTTCAAATTACAATACATAGTTATAAATTGGCTAACAATTATCATTGGCAATGGAGGCTTGCTCATTACATAGTGATTTTGTTGTTGTGGAACTGATATTGATGTTCCTTTCATCAATATCAACAGGTCCTTCGATATTCTTTCAAGTGCTTGTAGGGTATCATTCCAAACTATTTAAAATCTTCAGAAAATGTCACTTTGCTAACTATCATCTCTGGAAGAAAAAATAAAGTTAAACATTAAATTATATTTATATTTAAAAATGTATAGATTTTATGAATATCAAAATGATCAGATTTGACTTTGGGGGGAAAAAGTATACAATTTCTAGGGGTGAGGAAGGGTCATGAGGCCTGCTCCTGGAGAACCATAGCTCACCATTAAATCCTCAATCTCTGGAGACTTTGAGCAATTTTGGTGATCAATCAAGAAAAGTATTGGTTAAATTAAGTCAGTCGGAGATAATCTGGAATCAAGAGAGTACCCTGCAGCCCCCCAAGACCAGGGGTGTATTAATTAATTATAATACTTGCTTGATTAATCCAAACCTTACAGGTATTGGCAATCTTTTGCAGCAGGTGACTGGTGTGGGGCTCTCCAGAACCAGGTCTGGAGCCCTGCTGTAGAGCAAGGCTGTCCACGTCTAGTCTTGGTCCTGTAGGGTGGGAATGGGGACTTTCTAGGTCCCTGTGGAGCAGCTGCACCTCGGAGAAGCTGATAAACTGGTTTAGTTCAGCCAGTAACCAGCTGATTTATGTCCTTCAGAACAGACTGAATGGAAACTCATAATCAGTTCAGGGCTGGACAGCCCCCTTCCAGCATGTTAGAAACAAGAGAGACTAGGAGCACAAGGCTAGTTATTTTAATTTCTTTTGAAATACATTTCAGAAAATATCTTTATGCTATTCATTTTTTTATCACCAGGTCTATGTATTAATGTCATCATGTCGTCCATTTTTAAAATCTTTTATAGTTCATTCTTTTTTTGATGGTTTTTGACAGGTTTTGTTTTTTAATAAATGTATTTGCAACATCCAGCAACATCCAGCTGTTCTCGTATATATTATTGGGTAACTTTCACATGCTCTTTAGCGTTCATGCTTTCTGTTTTCTTCTCCATATGAAAAGTGGAATCATTCTCCCCATGTCTTTCTTTTCCTCTCACACCTCACAAACAGATGGTTGATATAATTTAGAGGACTCCCCTAATACTTGAAAGGCTTGCGGCTTTTCGGAGAAAAGACTAGAGAATAGCTCTTGCTAAATGCAAAAATGCACCCATTAAAAAAGTAGTCTTTTAGCCTTTAAACCTTCAACCGCCCAAATAACAGTGTTCGAAACTTGCTCCTCAACATCTTACCCGCACTCGGCACCTGCGTTTGAAATCAGGCCTTCAGGACTCCTCCTTGGACGTGAAGGCATGCGTGTCGTGGACAGCCTGCTGATCCCCTCCACCACCCTTTCCAGATCTCCCCAGCTGAAGGACACAAGGATTCTCTTGCCACCTCAGCAGGGAGGTTAATCCTCTTTACTGAACTTAAACTAGGACAATAATCCCTGAGGTTTATCTAGCAATGAGCACCTAGCAGTGCTGACAAGCTTCCCCACCCTCCTGCATGGCTAAGTAGGACAGGGGCAGGCTCCAATTGTCAGAGTCAGCAAGTCTGCAGCCATGGATTGCAAAACCAAACTTAGGCCAGGTTGCAAATCTTCCCAATCTACTCTAAAACTAGATTTCCTTTTATTTAGCATTCCCCGGATTTTTTCCAACTGTCTTTTAGAAATGCCGGTGATTTTTACAGCATACACACAGCTGGCTTCAGTTTGCAGTGGGCTTGTTTGTCTTGCTTGGCCGTTCTTTGTTATATTACACGGTATATATCAGACACATGGAAATCCCTCGTGTTTGATTTTCTTTGCAGTCATTTATGTTTTTTTGTGCGGAACATAATAAATGGAAAAAGATGCGTGCCTCAATTTAACAGCACTCCAGGCAAACAAGTAGCTTTTTAAACAGCAATCAATGCAATTTGGGACATTTGTTTTCCATTAGCAAGTATATTTAGAGATGGAGGCTGAAAAAAAATGGGCAAGGATTAGAGACCATAAGAAACAACTCTTTTACAGGGAAAGTAATCACATTTTATGTTTTTCTTAGTAAGAGAACTGGGCTGCTCTAAGTTAATGATACTGACAAGTTCTTGTGATGTATTTGTCATAAGTGCCCTTAGTGTGATTAGTACATTAGGTTCACATATTTTAAACCCAACTAATCCTATTTGATTATTATTGGCCGGAACAGTAAACAGTGCTAAAGCCACAGCAATAGTGAAGTTTGTATTCAACAGTAAAACAAGAAAGGAAATGAAGGATCTAAACCACTTAAATGCTGGAATATTGGTCATGGCAAACAACTCCCCCCAAAGAAAACAAACTAAGGATAGGGACAATTAATTTTTATCCAATTTGTTCTGATATTTCATGTTGGCATGCAGGGGAAACAACAAAATGTTAACTGTGTACCTTTTTCATTTTGGCCAATTTAATACATCACCAAAAGGTACTTTATGTGGAACTGAACAACCAACGGTCTTTGACCTCAAAGTTTTCTGTACAAAGGTTTGCTCATTCTTAAGGATGACTATGAAATACCTGTAGTTAGGTTCCTCGAGTCAGAGATACCTAGAAGCAAGATTTACATTTCAGAATATCTCCATTGACTACAGCTGTGACACAGCTCAAAGTAAAACAAATACCTTGCTTTGTGTACCGAGTTCATGGTTTATTTAGAGGCCACAGCAAATCCCCTGGGAGTCGTGGGGGAGAGTCATACTGTCGGATATTCCACCTGAGCTAGCACATTACAATCCAGGAGACAAACACAGAGCTGCAGACCTGGTGCTGTCAGGAGGCCGTTAATATCTCCAGGTACATCTCCTCCCTCTCACCTCTGCACAAGACTGATAATGTGGGAGCACCTGCATTCTGGTGATGTTCCGAATCCCCCTGGAGAGAAGAAACGGAGGAGCACAGTTATACCGCTTTATGAGGAAGAAAACATGCTTGATTTTCCTTTTATTGGAAGTGCTCTGGAACGCGAAGCAGTTTATTAAAAAAAAAAGGAGGGAAAGAAACTTTGAGACGGTAGGAGATTAAGATATAAAGTTCTTTCCCTTATTCTTTCCACTTTTTTTTTTAAACGTGCACGTTGGGAAGCAGGGATACATACCACTGGAAGGATGGAAGGCTTTTAATGTATCCCTGGACACTGCCATTAGCTTTCCCACAGCTCCGTGCCTCAGGCCTGGCCTGCAGGGAAGCTCCAAGTTAAACAGCCAGCTGCCTCAGATTGTCTTCTGGTTGAACAGCTTGACAAACCCATGTTTCTCCCAAGATCAGACACGAGCACACATTCGCAGACTGAATTCTACAAGCAGCTCGACAGTAATAAAATAGGTAAAAACATCAAAAGTGAAAAAAAATAACAGACTTTGAGTCTACAAGTCCAATTGCTTTTATACAATCTCCAGAGCAGTATGGGGCTTAAAATAAACACCACTATTAATTGCTCTTTATCTCCCAGGGCAAAGCATTAATTTTATGAGAGCTGTGTTTTTTTAGGACTATTTAAAAAAAAAACTGAATGGAGTGCAAGTACAGCATTGTCCTTTTTCCTCCAAGTTATGTTTCACATTGGAACCTGTCCATGAAGAAGCCATGTTTAACAGCAAAGTAAAATACAGCAGGGCGATTTCCAAGACGTTTTAATTGCTTGAAAAAAAGAGCTTTCATTTAATTTCACCTGTCAATTTAAAGCTCATAAAATAAACCTGATGCAGGAGTAGATGGTTTCTTCGTATGTTACACAAAACAATTAATAACACATTTGAAGACCTAATTTCCATGCATGAAATTCATTAATTAAAGCAGACCTTAATTTCAAGAAGCTAATTACTTCAAACAAAGTAGAATGTAAAGTATGATTCCCTTTGTTCGGAAGCCAGGAGACAGTTCTTTGTGAAAATACATAAACCTCCTGATATTGAGGACAGAAAATAGGAAAGTGCAGCTATCTTAAGAATCCTGGCAAAGAATATTGGAAAAGCATCACACAAGAGGAGGCCATCGGGCCCATTTTAGTCATTTGGTTCTGTTTCCCTGAAGTGCCAAAACCAGTACAGGTTGTAAATGTGGAACCCCACCCCCAATAAAGGATGAAAATTGCTTAAAACTTCCCCTGGAAAGGGACTGCAAGAACCCACATGCAGAGACGCAAACCCCCCCACCCTGACAGGCACCCCAGCATAGACACTGGAGTTCCGAGACTGAAGGTTCCACCCCCTGGGACTTTGTGCAGCCCAAGAGGGCCTGAAGAAAAGGGGAACCCAGGCATCAGTTTCATTCTGTATTTCACCCACCTTCTGTCTTCTGCTTCCCTCTCTCTCTCTGTAGATGCTGCCAAAACAAATGCTGATCACCCTCAGGGCAGACACTCAAATGATTTTCATATTCACTGTTGAAATATTACACCCAGGTGGGACATTTTTGATGAATTAGCCCATCAGACCAGAAGAACTAGGACGCCATAAAGAGCAGGGAGAGAACTGCTATTCTGTACCATGAGGCTTGTGGTAAAGCACTTTATTCCAGTTTGTTCTGGGAGGAAGATCTGATGGAGTTACTCATTCACAGCAGCATGCTTGTCTATAGTGACCACATCAGTTTTTATAAACTCATAAATAATTAATCCTAGTTACCTCTCATATAAAAATGGATACACCGAGTAAAAATTCATAACGGACCCTATTAAATAACTACAGCTCTTTCATTTCCTCTTAACTTAATTGAATGATCAATTTTAGACCTCTGGAGAGTCGAAAAGCTACCAGCAGAAATCAAAGAAGAGGTCGGATATACTTTTCATTCCCGACCTGTGGGAAATTGCCAGTGCTAGTTTGTCACACGATTCAAAAAATTCCAATTTTAATACAAGGATTCGGGCATTCAGGTTGGATGCAGATAATTGCATTGCACTATGCTTCAAGCATTCGTTCGGTCATAATTATTGATGGTTTTCAGGCTCAGGTTTCTATCTGTTCTGTGTGCAAGTCAGTGCATGCAGTGTATTTAACCTGGCGATGGTGTTTTATTGCCAGATAGCCTGAAAGCCACTCTATTTACCTGACACCACAGAGCAAGACGGTCTGAGGTGAGACAATCAGGCAACATGACTAGGAAATTGCATCAAATTGATACAAATAACAGCGGCCTACTGGGACAGAGCCTGCTTTAAAAGCAGTACGCCGATCCACCAGGGAACGCGCCTGGTTCGCGATATGAGACACATCACAGTGATAATGCTTACCCAGGTGGTCCTACACTAGCTCAGGCAGTAATCCCTTACCAAATTACCTGCCATGGCAACAGAAAAATAGGTGTTACACAAGCCTACACAATAGGTCTGTATGTGGCTGCGAGGAAACAATGTTACCAGACAATGGAAAGAGCAGGCTAATGGCAGGGGCAATGATTTTCATTACGCTTTTGTTAATGATACACCGGCACAAATAAAATGGGTCTTGGTCCTAGTATTTCGCGGTGGAGAAGCTATTGGAAGGCTTGAGTTCCAAATCCACTGCTTTGCGTTAGCCAATGCGCCCAGGCAATAGTCTCATCTTATTCTCACAGGGGCGGGCCATAGAATTCTAACGAAACACTCAGCACATTTCCACCGGCACACAGCTACCCCCAGCGCCAACAAAAGAAATTATTCAAACCAGCTAAATGACTCAAGATAGCAATGTGACAGCCTACTGGCCGCCCAGCTAAGAGACCAAGATTTGATTTATTGTGAAATTGCCTGGGATTCAATGCTGCATGCAGGTGAATGAATCCTGCTAATAAGAGATGTGTTTATGCTTCAGAGCTCATTTCTGTCGGTGTAACCCTGGATAAAATAACAGCGTGACTCCACTAACTTGATTGGATCAAACTGCACCAGAATATTATCAGACTACGGTTTTTCTGCACAGTCACTGCAACCACAGTGAAACTTCAAGAAGAGTGGGGGTGGTAGAATTCGAGCAAGTCATTAAACATTTAAATGGAATATTCTGAACTCTGCACTATAATGTTTTGTAACTGTGCCATGTTGAAAGCTGGTTGTGGGAGTTAAATACATTGGTAGACCAGACAGATTGCGGCTGCTTGCAGAGATTTTAAAACCCAACAGCTGGCAGATAGCAGACAGCAGGCAACCCCCCCCAACAAAAAAACAAATTGTGTGTACCTATAGAAGAACCTTGCTCCATTTTAAAATTTCAGGACAGAAATGGAAACGACTGAGCAGCAGTTTACTCTGAAACCTCTGTATTAGAATTGAATGAGATTCCATGCATCAGTGTCAAATGAAAATGCTTTAATTTCCCTCATTTTTTGTCTCTCTACCCCCCCCCCAAGAGATAGACACCATGATTTGGCCATCTTGCTAGCTTAGTATAAAGAGTACTTAATCTAAAGCTCCCCTTATCTCACCTTTCTTTATCTAAGCCTATCTCCAAAAGTTCCTTTGGATTTGGTGCGCTGAATCGTCTGTTTTCTAATCCTGATCAGTAAGGAATTTCATCCCATTACACAATCAAAAAGGTCTCTCTTTTTCACATACTACGGGAAGTGTTTATTTCATGTTACAGAATCACGGCTAGACCACACAGACTGAAGACACCAGAAAGAATTTTAGAAATAAGACCCCCCCCCCCCCAACGTAGACCCCAATATGAATGCTGAACCAATTGAGCTCTACAGGAAATCAATGTTTGGAGTCTATTGGACAAGTATACAGTATTTTGATAGATATTATTAGTGTCACAAAGCACAGCCACTCTTATCGTAGAGCATATTTATAAATGCTATGAGGCATGACAATTGGAGAAAAGGGGGATGTTGGCCATCCTTCTCTCTTAATCACAGTATGCAAAGCACCACAGGTATTCTAACACAGACCTCTGGCACCAGTCATCCTGCAATTTCACAAACTCTTTTCCAGTGTCCCCGCTTCCCTGGGCAGACCAAAGACGCACCTCAATTCTACTCTAATTGGCCCAGAAGACCTGACCTCCCATAACATTCCTTCTGAAAGCTGAGAAAACAGTCTATAGCAATGAATTAGAGTGTGCTTTCCTCCCTTTCATTCTGTGACCTTGTGGAGTGTAGTTCTGCATTGGAAAAAGGCACGAGCAAACATGAAGCAGAGAGTCATGTTTTCCACCACTAAGGTAATTATTTACCATAATTGCTGCAGAGTAATGAGGGGTCTTTATGGAACTCATTTTTCTAGCAATTAAACACAGTCAAAACATTTTTTTAAAAGAGCCCTTTTTTCTCACGCATGCCTTCTGAATCTTTGTCTCCATTTTAACCTTCTCCAGGTTACAGCCAGACGAGTTCAAGTCTAACTCTGAGCTCCTTCAGGAAGAGCCATTTGGAACAAAGTGTGACTTGACATTGCAGATGAAATCAATTGTGAAGTTCGCTTTAGAAAAGTTAATCCTGGTATTTCTTTGCCTAGTTCCGAGAAGGTTCTAATTTGTGTTTTAAAGCCACGTTGGTCTAGATTTCAAACTTACTTTTCAGATGGCATTTGATCATTTTTGACAGCAACATAAACTGTACTAAAAGTGTAAACAAAAAGCTCACATAATACACAATGACAGGTTTAGAAACTAACACTTCCTGACAGACTAGCACAGATCTAGGATTCATGTTCCAAACTCAAACATTATTTCCATGGCCCATACTTTATCTTTGGCATTGCCCTGATTTTCGTACCCTGTACAATGCACATCAGCATATACTTTTACATCTTTCTCGCCTACTAATAATCCAAGTTAGTCTGTGTGAACTGTTGTGGCACAGGACTTACAGAAGGGCTTGGACCACATACTGGCAAATGTCAGGTAACTGGAGATGGAGAGGCCAGGACCTTCACCTGGTCATTTCTGCCCCCCATCTTTAATCTGCTCTTTTGAGGTAAGGTCCAGCCTACTCTAGTGTCTAGGTTATCCCAAAACTTTCTCTGTTTGGCAAATAGCCACCCAGAAAAGATCAATGTACAGTAGTTTTGCATCTATTCCCAAGTACCTTAAACAGATGCCAGGTCAACAGGAGGTTAAGATCTTCAAGCTCTACAAAGTGAAGCACACATGAATCCCGACATTAAAGGCCCGACTTAAGACTCTACACCAGTAGTCTGATGGGCTCAGAAATAGGAGCACAGCAAAGCAGAATGGAGCCAGAGACTGGAATGTAGAAGTTATCTGCTTTATTTGCTTCAAGTCAAACAATAATAAAATAACGAAGGAGAGAATAAATTAAAACATCTACATTAAAATAAAGAGATTTCAGTCCTGAGATTGACAAAAAAGCAGGTGTTTTGTATCTGAAAGTACAAGATTAATAATGATATTTGAAGGGGCAGGGCAGCAGTTTTGGAGACAATGGGAAAGAGAGGGAGAAGGGGCTGAAGTTAAAGTAAGCAATCACAGGGAAACAGGGCTGTAGGCACATTCAAGAGTTGAGAATCACAAGGCTAAAGATTTTACAGCTTTGTCTGAGTCAGGCTCCTTCATTAAATTATCAAGCCTTCTTTCAAAATCATATATATTAAAAAAGTAATATATTCTTTACACATTTATCCTGAGGAAACATACAGTTTTCAAACATAAATACAATACTGCAGGGAGACCAATGAGAGATGCTTCATAGAGTTCGATTTCCATATATATTATTTTTCAAGGTTGGTGTTCCCCAGACTTTGGCTGTGCTGGTGGTCCAAAGATCAATCCAGAAACAATCACTAGTTTTTTTTTTCCCCATTCCCGGTTGATCTAAATATTAAAAACATTAATATTTCCCAGACTCTCTTGTGTTATGAATGGTTGCTGTGGTTACAAGTATGAAGGAAATGCGAAAGAGATGCATTTGTTATCAGTCCAATAACACTCAAGAAAATAAAACGGCTTAGGAAATGGTGAGCATCAACCACAGTCCCACTGAAAACATGGAGAATCGCCTGCAGTTCAATACCAATGGAAGCCAAGGCCCTGTAGTGCTGCTGTTTCAGTGTTGACATGGAGTTTATTTACGACGCCCAGAGGGTGTTGTATCCAGTTTCAAATAAGTAGTTTTTCTCTGAATGACCACCGTCAAGGACTTCAAAACCGAAAAATTAAAGGTAAGCGACAAAACAAGTGAGATCTAAAATGACCAAATACAAAACATTTTCCAGTGCATCAGTAAAAAACAAATTTCCAGAAGGGCCTTTAAAATACCTTGAACTGGAGGGCTGTACTCCTTTACACTGCGATAACACAATAAAAAAAGTCTGGTATCCCAAGTAGTCTGCTGGAATGCTTTTCAAGTAACAGTATGTCAGAGTATGTTCTGAGCAACAACAACAACAACAAAAAAAAGATTTTGTAAGCTTTTTACACCTCAGAAGAAATGTGACAGAGACAACAGCAATGTTTAATGTCAAGGTAGTACATTTACTAGGAATAAAGCGAATGCCCAGCCTGCAGGGAATCATTTGTCTGCAACAGCACCGAGTCAGTGTGTCTGTAACGCGTGCATATCTACATTTCCTTGTCAGGCCACATAACAGTAATTAACATATTTTATCAAATGCTCTGATTGCCTCTCAAAAACACTCACTCAGTATTTCTCCAGGGGTTGAAATTCAGTTGAAAAAAAAAGAGAATATCTCCATTGCAGTGACAACACAAGGAGTGAAAATTTCCTGAACAAGGGCCACCAAGGGATCTGTCATGAGCATCAAAAAGGAGAAACTTTATGGAAAAAAGAAATGTTACTATCTAAAAAAGTTCCCTTTCAAATCGCTGACATCAAGGGTAAAGCATCGGTTTGGTGTCCTAATTCATTTTCAAATGGAAATGTCCTCTGTACGAGCAGATAAACGCTATACAGCCATCACTCTTCTTAACAGGCAAAAAACGCTCTGAATATTAAAATAACACAAACACTAGCTAGTTCTGTGGCAGTTTTCACAGTGCTCTGTCTGTGCTGGCATTATAAAGCAGTGACAGGAAATATTGTAATTTCAGTGTGACAAGTGTGCTGCTGAGCCAGGGCTTGATTCCAGTCCCGCCACAAACACAGGTTGAAGTGTTAGTGTTCGCTCACCAGAGGGACAGCATCCCTGTTGTCCACAACAGGGCCAACCAGGAACTGCTGATCTCCACAGAGAGAGCAGCTGGCCTTGTTTTTTTTTTTCGCCTCACAAAATGGCCTTTCATTCGCCCCCTTTCGCCCATCTTCTCTGTGTTTAGTGTTGTTTTTTTTTCGTGTGCCCGCGCTAAACTCAAGGCCTGTTTGTCTCCAGCGTTCCACAAAGACGTATCCATCTTTCCGAGACAAACACAAACAGACTCGGAAAATTCTTCCGAAGGCCGTGCCTGTGTTCTCTGAGGAAATAAGCAGCGGCTTGTTTTTGTTAGAAACGTGTTATCGCATTACTGCTGTTTATTCACAATGCGCGGCCAATCTGCCAGGCGAGGCCTGGTCTCTCTTCAAGGATAGCCTTGAAGGACGCAAACTCACAACTTTTGACTTCTACCCAGTTTCCCCCCCCACTCACCAGACAGAACGGTGAATATTATTCCTTTCACAGTTTCCATTCTGTCTCACCTCCCTATTGTCTAAACACACACACACTCCAGGCTTGCGTGTGACAACAACTTGGGACACCGGGGGAAAAAACAATGTCTAGCATGCCTAAAAAAAAACACATTATCCAGCTAGTCTTTCAAAGTTTCATATCTCCTTCTGCAAGACTGAAATGCAAAAATTTGAAAGCTTGGCAACACCTTGGTCAGACTCCACTGTGCGTGAAATCTTGAAAATCTTTTAGAAGGGTTTATTAAAAATGCCTCCGATAACCACAGACATAATCAAAGGGCTGGTAATTTCATACTAAAGGCTGAAAGTTCTTGGGGAGGTCATACTGCAGCCATCATTAGCTGTGGGTTACAAAGAAGAGAAACCTTGATATATAAATGTACCTGCCAGTTGGAAACTACAAATACAGTGGGGCCCTCTGAGGGCCCTTTCCTCATCTTTCTCACGCAAACAGGAGATGAAAACTGGGTGCAAGAAACACTGATAATAAGACAGCACCCCCCCCCACCACCGCCATTATATCTCTCTTTTTGTAGTGGCCTCTGAGGATTCTCTCAATCTTTCTTCTGTGTGCCCTTGAAATGTTGATAAAACTAGCTGAGAGGAATGTGTGCGCGCGGAGGTCTCGGAGAAAGCTGATTAGTGTCGCTCCCAGGGGCTGGAGGGGATAAACAAATAGGAGGCTGGCCATGGAAAACACTCACGCCATGCTGAAATAGGAAACGGAAAAGCCACGGAGAAATACAGATTGAAGGAGTGGAATGGAAAAGAAATAAAATTGACTGGTAAACGAGGTGTGGGGGTTTGGGGACAAAAAAAAAGCAAAGAAAGAGGAATATACAGTAATTCTGATTCTTCTTCCTATTCTGACACTAGAGGGCATTGGCTTCTGAAATTGCTTCAAATTTAAAGCAAGAAAAGGTTTAAAATACCTTAAGATGCAGCTGGAACCGGTTTTCACCATTATGACAACTTTAACAAGTAAGAATTTTAGTGCTTTTTAACCACACTTTTGTAAAATAGCTTGGATTGGTTTGGACAGAAAAATAAATCGCCAATAAACTTGAATACACAGATAAATTCAAAACTGTCATAGTAGTATATTGTTAAACTCTTGCTATGGAACCAAAAAATGACCAATACAAGCCTGGCACTCAAGCCAAATAGATTCACTATTTAAATACTTTGGGAATGGGTTGTTCTACTTTAAAAGATATTCTATACATATAAGCATTTTCCCTCCCCAGCCTTTTATAGTGTCCTGATTGAAAAATCTGTCAAAAAAAGTTAGGAGCAAAAACAAATGATTGCAAGGAGGTAACAACAAAAAATAAAAACATCAGCAAAATGTCAGCTATGCCGTCCCCACGGCAACCTACACATAATGGATATCTGTGGGTAGCTTTCATTCACCAGGGACCAAAACAGCATTGGTGATCTTACACAAACAACTCCCTCCCTCCTCTCATTAATTTCACCCTCAGATGCACACTCCTTTACTGTAGGCCCTGAGAGAAGCCTGCTGTTTGCTTTATGATAGTCCCTAAGTCTGGGCCCTGTAGGCACTGAGAGCACTGTTGTCAACTGGAGCAGGAACAATGAACTTTGTTGAGTGGGCCTGATGGGCAACTGTTGTCAAGAGCTTAAAACTAAACGTCCTGTTCACTTGAAGTATCACAATCAAACCTTCTTACAATCCTTGTGGGCTTCACTGTGGCTATTTTTTTCATACCGTTCAGCAGATTTTCTTGGGATTTTTAGGTTTAGTGAGAGACAGGGATGCTAACTTTGGGAGTGCGGAGCACCACTTGCTAGCTTCACAGTTTAAACTTTAGAGGACAGTGTGGCCCAGTTCACTCTGCCTCAGGGAGATTGGTCTAGATGGAACAGAGTAACTGGCTGTGGGATTAGAAGTGACAAAAGCAGCTCGGCAATTATCCTGATTTTTAACAGACAGCGTACTCTCTTTATTCCAGTAAGGGCATTTTAACCTGCCCTACAAGAAAGATGTACAAAATGTATGAATTAGCCACTAATTAATACATGTGCATAAAAAAAAAAACTTTGTTCCATCATATGCCTGTACAAACACAGAAATTGAAAGCTCTGCTTCTAAAAGAGGGTTTAAAAGTTCTGGGGCAAGAACCTGATGAGCACAGTCCTGGGTAAACACTCATCCCAAAACTCAGCATTGCAGTTTGTTTAAGTATTTAGTCTTTTCACTGCACTGGCCTACAGAGGGGGGGCTCAGATAATGACAAACCATATGCCACCCCGTTTCAGCAGCTGAGAAAGCCTCGAGTGGATGAGTGAAGCTCTGAGCAGAATCTATTTGGAATTTAATACTATTATCCTAATGTGGGCAGCCAGCCCATTGTCAGGTCAGGACTCGGCTTGCAGCGCTAGAAAGGTTAGGGTCAAGGTGGGCGGAATAAAACCTACCCCCCCCCACCGCCGCCGCCACCAACAGCCACAGTATAGAGAACATGGAGTCTCCCACAGACTGCATGAAGTCTCTGCCTCTCTCAGAAAGGCCTCCTCCCTTCTGTCCCCTTCAAAATTGAGGGCATGGATCACTCAATGCACTGCAAACAAAGGCTCCAGCCTCCAAGTTTGCCCTCCAGTGTAACACAAGACAGAAAAAAAGCTTCAGGAAAACAAAAAAAGACAAAGACTGATTAAGGTTAGGGGCCTAGAGGTAGATAACATTTCACGAATTCGTCCAAAGCAGGACATTTTTAAAATGGGGGGGGAAAAGCATTCAGCTTGTCCTTTTTTTTTAGAGGGACCCCTTTTTTCCCTTACCCCAACCCACCTACCCAAAGTTTAAGGCCATTGCTAAAAACTTACTTGAAAAGCTGACTGCTGCAAACAGAAAAGGTCACAACCCACTCAGCAATGACAGCAGTGCACAGCAGGAAAGAGACCCAGTACTGGACTTCCAGCCCAAAGCCTACTTCATCCAAGGCTTCTTTACTGGCTATGAGAAAGGGGACAGAGATGAAATATAAAGGCAAGGAGATGAAGATGAAAGGAACAGCAGAGGAAAAAGAGGGGAGATTTTCCAAAAGGATATAAACATCTGAAACAGGGTTTATGAAAGTGGCACGTTTCACCCTCTCATCCAACAGACAGCTCTCTAGTCTGAATTGAAAGTTGTGGTAATTTAATCTCGAGGCAGAGGCCTACTGTTTGGTTTTAATCAGAAGGTACAATTCAGGGACGAGAATTAAAATCCCTTCTACGCTCTTTGGTTGTTTTCAATCTCAGTTACCTAAAAAACATTCACAATTGTTTTTACAAAATAATCTCTTCTGATCTGTGATTTAGAAAATACACAAGAAACGGGAAACTATTCTATAGCATTTTTAAAATGCCCAGGATCACTGTCAAGCTTTTTATAAATATAAATTCAGCCTTAGAAACCATGTATCCAAATATGGATATTTTAAGAAAGGCATTCTCAATCAAAAGAGGTACTTTGTGTCCATCAGGTTGGTCACTCACAGATCACAGTGGCCTACAGCTAAACCTTCTTTATATTTTTTTACCAGAAATTATGTTAGATGCATCCTTTTTCCCTTTGCAAATCTACATGCATTGCATATTGAGGTATTATGCAATCATTATGGAACATAACAGCAAGCAACCCAGTGGATGCAAACTGGAAGCCCATTTCATTTCCTATGTAACTGACAGCAGAAGAAGCCCTTTCTGGTAAGCAATTAGTCAAAATCATCTTGTTCCTTGAGAGCTATATATGAGCTCGTCGTCCAAAAACTTTTTCCTCGGCAGCCCCGGAGACGGATGAAAATAGTTAAATAAAATCTTAAGGGTCTTATGGAGATGTCTTATGGAAAAGAACGCATTTGTATTGAATAATGTCCAAGCAGTTAGCCTTTAATTTAAGAGAGACTTAAATAATGTTTGTACTTGACTCAGTTGCGTTCCTTTAAAAAAAAAAATTAATTAATATACTGAATGAAGTGAAAGACCTCTTTAAAGAGATTAACCATGCTTTAGGTTGATTAGGTTGAGTGCAGACAAGAGTTTCTCTTTCAAATAAATTCTAATGAAAAACCATGGGGTTATGCATGCATGACTCAACATCTGTCAATCTTAAAATTTATCAATAAGGTAGCCTTTTATTAACAGTGCTAAAGGGCTTACCACAGCCCCCTTTAGAACTGAAACTCATGACACACTGCAATATTGCTTTAATTCAAATTGCTGCTTTAGCAAATTGTTTGGAGGCTCTCTTTTCTAGCAGGGACATCCATTTTACCAAAAGCAAATTAAGACGACTGCACAGATAAAATGAAAAAGAAAATGAAATATGCCTCAATTAATTATTTTCAGCGATTCTGGTTTTGCCATGGTGTTGCAAAATCATCAGTAAAATATTCTTATTACAGCATTTGGGCTAAGAACAGCGGGTGGAGAAGACATACTTTAATTGTACAGATGTCTGTGATGCCAGTATTATTGGTTTTATAATGGAGTAGTAAGGTAATAAGATGGTTTCGGTCTCTAAGGCAAAGTAATAAAACAAAATCTTTATGAAGTCATATATTCAACACACACAACACACTCACAGTTATGCCTGAAAGCATCAATGTCTTTGTTGACTGTGAAACATTATATGAAAATATTTGATTCCCAAGGGTTTTCAGCTCACTGCAATAACATTATTCTACAATCCCAGTCTCACTAACACTCAGGATAATCCAAAATCGGGAAACAATAGCTCCCGATGCACAATATTTCACCAAAAATGTCCCCTTAATCAGCACACTACACAGTGTTCCTTAAAGCAACAAAAAGGAGGAATATTACATTGATCTGTGGCAGCTTCACAAAAACTAATTTCTGTCATAAATGTTTGTATAAAGTACGTCAGAGCTTTCTGATGAAAGCTGAGGTAAGTGGCAGTACAGTCACAATAATTGCACTTTTTGGAATATACAGTATATTGTCTGCTGCCAATATTTTTCTGAAAAAGCTTTCACCAGGTTGATATAAATGTATATTAGTTTATGGGGATAACTTACTTAGGGAGGGTAACGGTGGTACAAACCTACAGCATGTACACATTCTAAATCTGATCATTTGGGTATAAGTGGTGATTTTTTTCAAATTGTCCTTCCTCCAATTATAGGAATCAAGGCAATGGACTTAACAAAAACACAGTACATTCACTTGGAAGGGCTGCATCTTCATTAAAGACCTGCACTGTTCCTTTTTTCAGCTAAGTACTAAAGACCTTTTAACCAGAATAAGAATGCAGTACTACATCCAGCATATCACAGCATGAAAAGAATTATATTTCTACTGACTGTATGTTACAAAAGAAAAGTGAAATGAGTGCCACACCATAACACTACCTTGCCTTTTCAGCTACAGTCCAAAAAGCCACAGGATTGGGTTTTTTTCTCCAAACCAAAGAGAAAAGTGAAGAGTTTTAGGTATTCCACATCAGTATGCAAGCCCCATACACTATCTTGTACTTTGTTAGCCTGCCTTTTCTCTATGACAGATCTCGTGGGTGGCACTGGATTAAGATCTGATCCTGGATTTCAATCTTGATTTGATATCACTGGAAGATTAAGCCCTCTCTCACACCAATTCGCGACTCACAGACAGAGCTGAAGGCAATCAGAGGGACAGTCATCAGAGTTTGCAAGACATCTCTGCTCAGCTCCTTCACAGCTGGGATCAAAGGTTGCATTTCCTTATCCGATTCACGCTGTTCTTACTGGAATTGAGCTCCATCCTGCCCCGTAGTGTGAAATTCCTATTTTTGTGCACTTCAGATCGGATTTAATCCGAGCCCCCTCTATACCCATCACCACCAGTTTCTACATAACGGCATAGCAAAATCCACCAGCCCATCCACAGCCACACAAGAGTTTCTTTTTCAGGACTTTAAAAACCATGATTTCTCAGCAGCTGATAAGTTTTGAGGGACGTGACCCTTAAATCACACATAACGCACCAAACCAAGCCTGGGGAACTGTTGAAACCAATAGGACAAAGGCAGGTTGAGAGGACCTCCGAAACAGACAGACATTCTATATTCGCAACGCATCTGAATTTTTTTTTTTGTTGTCGTTTTTGCTTGTTCTGCTTCCATTGTGTTGCTTTCACAGCATCTCCCAACATGTCAAAGACTGGCTGTTCTTACAGCACCAAACCAGCAGAGGCCTCACGTTTCATCCAGGAGGAGCCACGGACAGATGGAGAATGCAACCCAAAATAAAAAAAAATACACAACAAAAGGAGAAAAAAAAACTAAACTTCAAAACTAAGCAATAAGAAATAAAGATGTGTATTCCCCTTAGCAGCCAACGCATGTCTTATATTAACCTAAAATATATAAAACGGCAACAAAAAAATAACAGGTTCAAGTTTTCAAGTTTCTTATTAAATAGATTTAATCCAGATCACCCCAAACCCCATCCCTTCTGCTGACTAGCTTCTATACTCCAAGCAGTGCAATTGAAACATTATTTTCTTAAAGAGCTTGTCATGTCATTCCATAGCATTGATCCTTCTACTTTCTAATTCCAACATTTTTTGTTTTGGAGAGAAGCCTGTAGTCACTGCCATTCCCAATTGGGGGGAACCAAGGTTGGAAAAGTGATCAGGCTTTTTGGGGGTAGCAGGGGGGTTGGGGAGAGGGGTCGTGTGCATGTCATATCAAGATTCATATCCTGTCACAAGATGGATAAAATAAAATGGAATGAAAACACCCCCCTCCCGCACCCCCCCAAAAAACAGCACACAAATACCTGTTGGCAAATACCAGTTATTCAGGCTTTCGGCATGAATTCCCCATCGTTCGCCTGCCCCAAAACCCCGCCCCCCCTCCCACCCCACCCTGCATGGCATTTTCACCTCTAACCTTTGCCCTCTACAGCTAGCACACTGGCTTTTTCAGGGGTGCTTCAATAACACAACAAGCCCAGACCGTCATCGCCCTTCGGTTCATTTAAAGCAGTGCCAATCACATTTATATATATCTATAGATATTTATATATAATAAAGATCTCCTCTTTTTTTTTTGTTAATTCTTTTCACTCTTGACATTGTTCGCGGGGGTTTTATCTATAAACTGGTAGCCGGATGTGTGCGTGCTGGTGGTCCAACAGCCGGGGTACGGATACCGTCTCATAGCCTTTCCCCAGCATCTGCTCCTTGATGCAGGGGGGGTGGATGTCATTGATCAGGTACTCCAGGGACTGCAGGCTGCTGCTCAGGATGGAGGTGTTGCAGAGGCTTTTGCTGGGCAGGCTGCAGCACAGACCCCCGCCACTGTCCACCGGGGGGTGGGGGTGGTGGTGGGGGTGGTGGTGGTGATGGTGATGGTGGTGATGGGGGAACCCGAGCTCCCGGTGTCCTGCCCCCGCGCCACCCGTGTTGACCCCGGCCAGGTCCTGGGGGTTGTAGCAGTCGCTGTCGGGGGTCACCAGCACGCTGTTCCAGGGGGGCGCAAAGTACTGTCCCACCGAGAAGTTGCCGTGCATGCCGGCGCAGTTCAGCGGGGAGGAGCTGACTTTGTCCAGCCCGCCGGCGCTGGCCGTGAGCGCGTAAGGCCTGGAGGACACCTGGGCGCCGCCCGCCACCACCCCTCCCGCGCCCCCTGGCACGCACGTTTCTGGAGACTTACTGATGCCCCCCCCGCTGCTGCTCCCAGCGCTGTACATCCGTAGCGCAGCCTGCTGCTGCTGCTGCTGCTGCTGCTGCTTCTGCTGCCAGAGGAGGTAATCCATGCTGTCCATGTAGGCCGTCCCGGCTTTGGCTATCTCCGCCCCCTGGGCGGGCAGCATGGCACCCGTGTAGGCCAGGCTGCCTTGAGGCGCCATGCCGGTGGCAAAGCCGTTGGAGGAGGAGTTCGAAGAGGCGGCCGCCGCCGCCGACTGCTTGGCGGGGCTGGGGTTCGCCGATGTTGCCGCCGCCGCCGCCGCCGCCGCCACCACCACCCCTGGGCAGACCTGCTGCAGGGCCTGGGCCTGGCAGTGTTGGTTGATCTGGTAGATGATGCTCTGAATGGAGGGGAGATTGGACTGGGGGGGCAGAGCCAGACCTCGGCCTCCCGCTATGGGGATCACCGAAGCGGCTACCGTGACGTTCGGGGGCACAGACAACGTGGGGGCTTCGGGAGGTTTGGGCGGTCCTGTGTGGTACGGTATCTGCCCATGGCCATGGGCTAAAGTGCTGCTACTGGGTGGCGGGTAAGGAGCCACCGCAATTTGGGCTGGGGATAGCTTAGTCCGCTTGCCCTCAGAGTTCTTGACCACACCTTTGACTGTGGGGGCGGAGGCAGCCCTGACAATGGCCAGCAGGCCTTGGTAGCCCCCCGTGTGAAGGTGAGGGTAGGGACTGTAGCGCTGACCAGTGGTGTCGTAGCCATTGACAGTTCGGTTAAGGTGCTTGTGCTGTGGTACCCTGATATTAGTGGGGAAGATCTTGATGGACAGCGGGCTGTTGGCAGTCTTCTGTGCGTAAGCATCAAGCTCAGCTGGGCTGGGATACCGGGGTGAATGCATGGGGGCTGCTAGCTCACCTACAAGGCAAACACAAAAACAGCCTTTATTTGTAGTGTTTGGATGAGTCACACTGAGATCCCTAGAGTTGTATCCAGCAGGAGGATCTCTTTCATTCCTAGCCATGAAGATTTTGCTCAATGGTCATATCTTGGATGCTCAGAGTAAAAATCCAGTGCTGGTAGCATGCATCACAAATGCACTGCTTGAAAAACCATTTTTAAATTGCAACCCAAAATTAATTGAAATTGCATGCAGCAGACAGCACTCCAAATATACCAAACACATTCCAGGGATTTTGGCTGAAACTAGGCATAACCTTGATGAACCCAGAATATTAGCACCCTATGTTTATTCCTATCTATAGGGGTATATTCTTAATTAAGATGAGCACGTTTTGTGAACAGGTACCAAGATCATTGTTGCAGTATCTACAAGGTTGGTGACAAAGAAAATGTTTAGAATAACAAACTACCATTCTGAAGATTTGTGTAAAATTAAGTTTCCTAAATCCTTTTTTTTTCCTTTCTTGCTGAAGTTCCCTGGTTTCTCATCCCTAGACATCTGCAGCTCTTTAAAATCTCATTCCGTAGATGACTGTACCTCAGGCACAGTTAAATCAGTGCTTTGTAAAATTAATTCGGACTTTTTTTTTTAAGAACAAAATTGAGATACCCTGGGAAATCAAGAGGAGAATTTTTTTTTGATGCTTTGGGTCAATTGAGACATGTAGGATTATCACCATCATCACATGGCCAGTTACTCTTTCAATGAAATCACAGGGAGATACACGACAGTAATACAAAAACTGCCCACAAAAGCAGCTTAACCCTAGTTAAAACCATGATCATGTGGATGTGTCCATGTACTAATATCCAAACAACTACCAAGCCCTGCAACTCATTTTTGTGTAACAAATAAGAACACAAGAATGATTCGAAATGAAAGGAGACTTTTTGGCCCCATTTAGCTTGTTTGGATGTTAGTGACTAAAGGATCTCATCTCAGGCTTTCTTGAAAGAAGCCAGAGTATCAGTTTCAACAACAAGACATTTCCACAAGTGTCCTCTGGTTTGTGCTTTGCTGTTCATTCTGAAGAAGTCCACTTCCTCTGTTCAAAACTAAAAAGGTTTAGATCTTTCAGCCTGTCAGAGTAGAACATTCCTCAAAAATAAAAAAAATGTCACATTATTCTAGACTCTGTTGTTCTTCAAAAGAAATCTGTTCATTAAGCAGTAAGCAGAAAATGTGTAAATACTTTTTAGGTCAAGTGCTTAATATTGCAGCTAGTGTCAATGGAGATGCCTGTAACACAATTCCTGTATTAAACGTCTCTCATTTCTGATCAACATTTTTTTTTAAATGAGCATGTGAGATTAACATTTTTCTTTAAAAAAAGTAAGGGAAACAAGATTTTCTATATCCAAGTAGTCCAAAAAAAACACAGATGGACCTCATGCACCAATATGATTCTCATCTCAATCGCAGTTTTTGATGCACTGGTTACCAGTTTGCATCTTCAATGGCTCTGCCACTATGTCCATTTCTGAGCAGGGTGGATAATAGTTTTTGAAGCTGCCCTGACTTCAAAATTCAATTCCTAAGTGATAAAACCAGGTCACAGACCCGTATCGCCCCTTATTTAGAAAGCCAGGGCTTAACTAGCTTGAAAAAAAAAAACAGCGCAGGGAAACGGCAATCTCTAAGGGCCCATAGTGTGCCAGTGTGGGGGAGGCAAAGGGGCTCGTCGAGATTGGATTTAAACTACATTATTCAGGCAATTTCATGGCTACTTAGCTCACCGCTACAAAAAAAAGAAAAAGAAAAAAGAAAAGCACTCCATTTACAAGCAATAAATCAACGGCTGTAAATTACCAGCACCCCCCAAAAATGACACTTTTATGCAATTTTACAGATGAACAAAAAAGTGCCGAAATTAACTGCGATAACAACGCAGTCAGCAAAAGCCATTGCAACCTGGAGAATGAGAAGAGAGAGAGCGCACGAGTAGGGGGGGAAAAGTAAAAACTCTTCATTTCGTTTGCTGTAACAAAAGGCATTTTTAAAGAGCCTCCATCGCCACACAGTCAGAACTCATTTGTTGTTCCCATTTACACCCCCGCTCAGAGTTTATTTCGAGTATCCAATGAGCCTCCAACTGTGAAAATGATTAAATCTACCAGATCTATCTCATAAAGGAAATAAATTGGGTGTTTAAATGGGAGAAGAAGCACCGAGTCATGTTGCTGTCTGTCCCTGTGGCGCCAAGTGCAGTCGCATTTCTAACACACAAAAAACATTACTACCTGGTAAAGGTATCCGGTAAATCTCAGAAGCAAATAAAGGCTGGGCCTGGTCAGTAGGAAGGTGTGAGATGACTAAGGAAAATCAGGTTCTTGCTATAAGTTGTGATAGTGGACCAGTAGGTGGTGCTCTTCTATGAAGACTACTGTGTGTCCAAACCAATGCACCAGTGACAGTGACTGTGTAGTGGGTGCCATGCTTTGGTTGAGAAGAGGCCCTAAAAAGAGATCCTGATTAATTGATTAAAGGGCATTATATCCCACAGCATTTTTCAAAAGGGTAGGGGGTGTTAACTCCAGAGTTCTGGCTACATTACACTTCTGTACAGTTCAGACTAAAGATTTCTCCTTAATTCAACCCTGAAGTAATTTCTCACTGCATCTTATCTGCTGAGTAATGGGGCTGTTGGTATATAATAGCTGGAATGCCAGGAATTATTATGAATACTAATATTATTATTAAAAACAGAGAGCTCTGACGTCAAAGCAGAACCACTCTTGGGTAGCTAGAGAAAAACAAGAAAGTGGTCTGGTTGGTCCAGCCTCATAGATGGAGTTGTACAAGTCCTACTGCTCCTGATAACTGTGCTAAGTGTATTCAGATATTTAATGTCATCTTACTGGTGTCATAATACTCTATGAGTATGAGTATTATGATAATGAGGGTTACAACACATCGGTCTCCATGAAAGCCAAGCATAACTGTCATATTTCAAGGAGCACGTTCAACATCTATCATCACAAAGCCACTTATTCCTGGTGAGGGTCACAGAAAACACAGAGCGTAGGGCAGAAGGCAGCACTACACCTGGACAAGACGCAGCCCATCACAAGGCACCCTCTCACAAGCACTCACAACTGACAGTTTAGCGAGGCCTATGTACGGTTTTGGAAGATGGTTGAAAATGGACGACCTGGATAAAACCAACACACACTTGGGGGAGATCAAGGAAACTCCACATAGACGGTACTGCAGACCAGAACAGAACATGGGACCCAAGAGCTGCAAGACCACTCTGCTAGCCTGCCATGCCACAGGGCTGTCCTAGGAGCATACATCGTGCATGTTCTGAAAAGGGCACCCAGGAGAACATTATTGCTCTTATCCTCTCAAACACTTACAGCCTATTCCAGCACAGCACACATATTCCAATAAAAGTGGAGAAAATTCTCAGGGGAATAAGCAAATCACCACATTTGCTGACTTTCTGCAATCTATCATAGCACTTGAATGGATATCAAATACAGAAACGAGAAAACAAATTTTAGAGTGCAAACACTCACTGCTTAGCCTGTTCCCCTGGCAGAAATACCCAATGCCATACCAACACACCATTCCAGTATGCAAGTGAAAACGCAGTTAATGCTGGCTATGAAAGGTAGCTCATACTTTACATTGACAGATATAAGGTTGTATTCGCCCAATTTTTTGCAATGGATTGTTTTGGTACCGTTTGCCAAACATCATCCCTGACCGTCTGCATGGTACAGAAGATACAAAAGACCTACTAAAGATAAAGACTAAAAACTACAGGATTTTTGTGAAAATAGAAGTTGGCACTTCATTGAAATGGTGCTGAACAACCATCTCCATCTTATTACAGCACACTAGCAGCAAGGAGTGCATACAATTACAACATGATAATAACAACTCAGAAACAAAGAAACCAATCAGATAGAAACCACAGAGAGATTTTCCAGATACTGTCCTTTTAATTTTATGCTCAGAAGCTGGTTAATAGCACACCACAATTCTAGGTTATTCTAGGTTGCAGCGATGACAAATTTTATCTAAATCTTTGGGATAAAATATCTTTGGTCAACTGCCGCTGTAGTATTTTCTTATACTCTATACTTTTATTATACTAGTCCATGCTCTTTTTTATACTTCGCAATCACACAACCAACACAAGGAAATGCTCAATTCATTAAAATATTTAAAAAAATGTTTTTACCAACCACAAATTTTAACTACAGTACTTGCGTCAATTGTTGCACTTTGCAATCTCTCAGTCTCTCTTGCCATTTGTAAACATTTAAAGCTTCAAACAGCAACCTGGCTTCAAAGGGTTTCACACTTCATGGGTCACGGGGATTAGAGTCCTTTCAGCGCCATAAAACCATCTCTGCTCCACAAAGGTTTGATGTTATTAGGGCCCCAGAGTGGCACTGGTGGCAGGAAAAAAAAAACTCAAATTAAGTCTCAGTTGTTTGCGATTCCTTCTCCTGCTGGTTTTTCCATTTCTGCAGCTCCAGAATCAGAATACAGAGCTCCTTCTCGCCCGCTCTACTTCGCTATTGTACCTGTCCCAGGCTGTGCCATCTGTTTGACTGGCAATGCTATTCAGTTGTTTCACCCAGTAACTTTAGACGCGATGATACAGGTCTATAAGGTAGAAAAATTTGCAACACAGCACTGGCAAGAGACTTATTAAGCGGCCATTACTTAATTACTTAATGATAATATTGAACTCTCCACGCGAGACAAGACATTTTAGCTGATGTGTAACAGAGCAGCAGAGACAACTCTATACCTGAGGCTGATGTAACATGTTAAAGACAACAGCCACAAAAAATACATTTATCTTTAAATTATTAAATTAATCAATCATAAATTGACTGACACAAAAAACACCATTTCAGCTCAACCACGTTATAAAAGATTGCTCTAGCAAAAGCGAATACAGTAACTAAAAACTTTTGAAAGCTAAGGGTTA